AGTATTGGAGATTGAACCCAGGGCCTAGCACTTGCTAGGCAGCTACTGCACCATTGAGTTACATCCCCATCTCTTTTTATTTTATTTTGAGACAGGGTCTTGCTAAGATGCCCAGGCTGGCCTCGAACTTGCAATTCTCCTCCTTCAGCCTCCCAAACCACCACCATGCCAGGCTTCTCTCTTTCTCTTTTTAATCTTGTAATTTATTTGAAGAAATCTATCAGTTTATCCTAAGATAGTAACAACGTAAGTTACTGTTTTTTGTACTCTGCTTGCATAGTACGTAGTACTTGGTCTAATAACATATTTGTAGATATCTTAAAATCTTTTTGAAATTCAGAGAAAAAAAATTTAAAATTATTTTTTAAGAACTCTATTTTGGAATTTAACATACTTAGGACATATATCTTTTGTTATTTTATTACTGATTGATTTTAATGGTCCTTGAACCCATGGTCTCATGGCTTGCTAGATAAGCACTCTACCAGTGAGCCACATCCCCAGCCCCATTGTCTTGTTAATGAAAAGACATCCATTTTTGTTGTTTCACAGTTAGTGCCTCATTCTCCCTAAATTCTTTATTTTCTTCTCACCTTTTGAGTCTTAAAGTAGGAAAATTTATTTTTATTGTCTTATTCACTTTAAAAATGATACATCTTATTGTTTTATTCAAAATTCCATGGCTTGAATATCCTCAGATAAACACTTAATGGATTAGTGTGTATTTGTTTCCAGGCCTTTTTCATGTTTTATAGAACTTGTAACTGAAATTATACTTTATATACACAATTTGCTTTTCCTATTTGTACATTTTTCCATCTTAGGAAATTTATGAATCTATCCTCTTCAAAGGTCATATTTTGTATAGTGCATATGTTTATTATCAGTTTGCTGAATTTGTGCCTCTCACCATCTACTTTATCTAGGTTTAATGTTTATAATCTGTCACATGGTTGCTCTGTGATGTATAAATCATTCTGGTTGCATAGACTCTGCATTTTTCATCGACAGTGTCTAGTTGATTTCACCCTGTATACTATTTTATTTTTATTTTWTTTTTTTGTGTTACTTGGGGATTAAACCCCTGGGCACGGTACCTCTGAGCTACATTCTGAGCTATTCTGAGTTATTCATTCATTCACTGATTTTTTTCCACCTTTTTTTAATTGTTGCATTATAGTTATACATATTGATGGCATTTTTTGTTACATATTTGTACATGCATACAATATTACTATAATTTGACCAATATCACACTCTAGCACTTCTCCCTTCCTTCTCTGCCTCCCACTCCTTGGTCCTTTTCCTCTGCTGATCTCCTTTTGATTTTTAGGAGATCTACCCCACATTGGTTTTCCTTCTGTCTGACTTCCGAATATGAGAGAAAACATAACACCTCTTAACCTTCTGAGTTTGACTTATTTCACTTAACATGTGGGTCTCTAGTTCCATCCATTTCCTGCAAATGACCTAATTTCATTTTTCATTATGAATGAATTAAACTCCATTGTGTATATATATCACATTTTCTTTATCCGTTCATCCATTAATGGGTACCTGGGCTGGTTCCATAATTTGACTATTGTGAACTGTGATGGATATGCATGTATCACTATAGTATAATGACTTTAATAATTCCTCAATATAAATACCAAGAAATGGTATAGCAGGGTCAGATGCCTAGTCTTTTTTTTTTTATTAGTTGTTCAAAACATTACATAGCTCTTGAGATATCATATTTCATACATGCCTAGTCTTTTAAGGAGGCTCCATTACTGATTTCCGTAGTGTATTGGACTAATCTACAGTCCCATCCAACAGTGTAAAAATATTCCTTTTTCTCCATATCCTCTCCAGCATTTATTCTGCTTCGTATTCATGATGACTGCCATCTGACTTGCATGAGATGAAATCTCAGTGTTGATTTGCATTTCCCAAATTGCTAATGATGTTGAACATATTTTTCTTGTATTTGTTGGCCACTTGTATTTCTTCTTTTGAGAAGTGTCTCTTTAATTCATTTGCCCACTTATTAACTGGAGGTGGTTTTTTAATTTTGGTGTTAAATTTTGAGTTCTTTATATATTCTAGATATCAGTCCTCTGTCAGAAGAGTAGTTAGCAAACATTTTCTCCTCATCTGTGGGTTTTCTCTTCACATTCCTATTTGTTTCCTTTGCTGTACAAAAGCTTTTAAATTTGATGCTGCCCCATTTATTAACTCTTGGCGTTATTTCCTGAGCTTTAGTGTTCCTATTGAGGAAGTTATTGCCTGTGCCTAAAAGCTGGAGCATTGACCCTGTGTTTTCTTCTATCAGTTGCATAGTTTCTGGTCTAATTCCAAGGTCTTTGTTCCATTTGGGGTTGATTTTTGTGCAGGGTGAGAGATAAGCATCTACTTTCATTCTTCTATGTATGGATAACCAGTTGTCCCAGCACTGTTAAAAGGGCTGTCTTTTCTCTGAGTGGATATAATTGGCACCTTTGTCAAGGATCAGATGACAGTATCTGTGTGGGTTTGTCTGTTTTGTACCATCGGTGTATGTGTCTGTTTTTATGCCAGCATCATGCACTTTTTATTAGTATAGTTCTGTAATGTAATTTAAAGTCAGGTATTGTGGTAGCTTCAGCATTATTTTTTTGGCTTAGAATTGCTTTGACTATTCTGGGTCTTTTATTTTTCCAGATGAATTTTAGGACTGCTTTTCCTAGTCCTGTGAAGGATGTCATTGGTACTTTGAAGGGGATTGCATTGAATGTGTATATTGCTTTTGATAATATGGCCATCTTAACAAAATTTCCTGCCTATCCCTGATAATGAGATGTCTTTCCATCTTGTATCATCTTTAATTTCTTTCTTCGGTGTTCTATAGGTTTCATTGTTGTACAGGTCTTTGACTTCCTTGGTATTTTATTTTACCTTTTTGAGGCTATTGTGAATGGGATTGTTTTCCTGATTTCTTTCTCAACAGATTCATTATTGGTATATAGGAAACTATTGATTTTTGTAACCTGTGACTCTGCTGAATTTGTTGATTAGATCTAGCAGTTTTTTGGTGGAGCTTTTTTGATCTTATCATCTACAAATAGTGATAATTTGATTTCTTCCTTTTCTATTTTTATCTCTTTTGTGAAAGAGAAAACAATAGAATTTGGCTGTTAGCAGAAGAAAAGAGAGAAAGAGAAACAGGAGAAGTAGACAAATGAAAAACACTTCAAAACAAAACAAAAATATGCTAATAAAAAACCCTAACCCTCAACAGACAAAGCAAGGAAAAATAACTACATTTAAAAAAATACTAAAAATGAGAAAAAAGAAATAAATATATATAAGTATATATGTTCATGTACCAGTAATCACAGCAAGAAAAAAAAACAAACAAAAACAAAAATCACACACAAAAATGAAAGAAAGATTCTTAAGTGAAAAATCAAGGAATTATTTCTACTGAGGTGGTCAAAATGGTCAGTGAGAAAAGATGGATACTCTGTGTGTAACTTTTTTCTATTTGTTCTTGGGTTATGGACAAGAGTAAGGGCTGTGGGTTGTTAACCCTTCCTCTTTTTGTGTTGTTCAGCAAGCCACCAGTTGGAGTGACCTAAGATTGAATTTGGTTCAAATAATGTCAGCTTCTCTTCTCCCCAGTATCAGGTAGGATGGGATGTTAAGTACTGTCAGTTRGAGTTTTGTCTGCACTGACCAGATTGATGTATTCCCAGGGTCAGTCCACTGCTGAGTTTTATTAGTGAAGTTCCAGCAGGTGCCGCTTACGTCTGATGAGGCTTCAGGGTCTTTGCTTGGTGGTTTCTGCTCTGGAGAGATTAGATCAGTACACCCCTTGGGCCTGGCAGTAGCCCATCTCTCCTGTAAATCTGGGTCTTGGGAGCCTCCCAGGGATTCTATTCAAGTGGTAAGGATTCTATTCAACTGCTGGGTCAGTACAACATTTCCAGGCTTCCTAGGCTTAGTCACTGAGTGTCCATTCAGATTCCCAACCACTTCAGCTGGTCACAGGAGCCACCAGACTCAAGGTGGAAGCACTTTTCTGACTTGAATCCCCTTGGGTAAAATATTTTCTCTATCTATTTTACTCCTATTCTGCTAGATACACAGGAGGCCACATGGTAGGCACTTGCTGAGATAATCTAACTGTGTTTGTTCAGATCTCCCAGCTCCCACAGCAGGAGCTGCAGCATGGCCACCTCAATATGGTTCCTGTTCCAGCTCTTAATGGCCTGTTGGAAAACATGGGGCACTTTTCAACAACCAGTGTACAGTGCAACTTCTGGATCAGCTAAGGGCACCCTSCTTTTCTGATCTCAGGTTTTTCTGTACTAAATCTGTCCATTGTGTTTCTCTCTGTTTCCCTTCTCTCAGTGCTGAACCAGTGCCACTACTGCTGCTACCGCACCTGGCTTGACTCTAATGTAATCTTTCTTCTTTATTTAATGTGTGCAAATTTCTGAGTCTAAGACACTCTGCCTATCCTATTGAGTTTTAGTGAACTCCCTCTTTCATTCACCTCAGAGAAGCAGGTACTATTACTGATTGAATCCTGAGCTGCGGAACAACTGGGAATGCAGTCCTCTAGCCCATCATCTTGAATCCTAAATCACTAATTTATTTATTTATAGATAGTGTTTCATTAAATTTCCCAGGCTGACCTCAAACTCGTGGTTCTCCTGTCTCATTCTCCCAAGTAGCTGGGATTGTAGGCATCCATCACTGTGCCTAGTAATGAGGATACTTTCTTTGCCACTTTAAAGTATAGTTGTCGGCGTTAGGATAGTAGCTTTCAAAAATATCATTAAACATAGAATTCATTTCTGAAACTTTTTGTTTTAATTGCACTCCAAACTAAAAACAAGTCTCCTTATCTAAAATATATATTAGATGAGTCTCTTTAGCGAAAGGTACACATACATCATTTACCTTTGGTAGTTTCTTTAAGTAATGCTATCCTTAGGTTCAGTACTTTTCTTTTTAATTATTATTTTTAGCATTAAAGAAGAATAGAAGGTAAAAGAAGATGCTGGGATCTGAACGTGGTGTTGTGGAAGAATGGTTGTCAGAATTCAAGGTAAATTGGTGGGGATAAGAATGTATTATATGATTCTGTGTGTCAATGGTTCAGATAGTGAATATGTGTTCAGTGGAAAAACATACAAGTATACAATGATATAGAAATGGAAAAATATGAAATAACATTTTTCTAATTATAGTTCTTTTAAAATGTACTGATGAGAGTAAGGTCCAGAAGGGAATAGGTAAAAATGAAAATAATCGTTGGAATCGATGAAGTGATAATTAAATTTTAAAATATATTCAATAAATGTTGGGTGTGATGGCGAACACCTATAATCCAGATACTTGGGAGGCTGAAGCAGGAGGATCACTTGAGCCCAGGAGTTCAGAACCATTCTGGGCAACACAGGGAGACCCCATCCCAATAGAAACAAATGAAACAGTACAATAAAATTTGCTAAAAAAAAAAAAAAAAAAAAAGAAGCTTTTACACGTCAATAAAACATAAAAACAGGATGTGTACCTTATGTTTTTATTTCTTGTAATTAAAAGATGTAGTTGTGATAGAAAACTATGTAACGTAGGACTATTATGGAAATTGTTTTGTAAAAAAACTTGGAAGAATTGCAACACATTCTACATTTATTATTATTTTTAGGTTAGATTAAGATGGCCCATTTCAGCAAATATAGGTGTAATGAGAGATTTCCAATCATTTTTCATGGTTGAGTAGTCAGAATTGTATGATATAGTGTGGAAACTTAATTTGTTTTACTAACACTCATGGTTATTTCTTATATTAATTATTTTTACTTTTCTGCTTGACTCTCATAGATCTTTTCAGGAGGCATTCATGAAATAATGTTCCTAAGTTCCCAAATATAAGTTCATTTTTGTTTTCCTTTTTTTTTTAGGCATTACCTGACACTCAAATCACCAACTATGCAGCAACTTTACACCGGAAAAAAGCACTTGTACCAGCCCTCTATAAAGTTATTCAAGATTCAAATAATGAGGTAGGAAAATTGATAAGAAAACCAATTTATACATAGCAAAGTGAAATATATGTACTAAAACACATAAACGTAAGTTTTGTAGTTTCTGTCCTTACTATGGATCTGGAAATTTTTCTTTCTGCTGTGTTTCATTCTGATAGTTGCTTTGGCTTTTCCCATTTCCTCCCTTTACATATTTTAAAATATTTTGGCCCAGTTTTTTCCTGTTGAGGACAGTATGTTTTGATTCTTGATTTGAGTGACCATCATCTCAATAGATTATTTAATTTGAAACTTGTCTATTTCCCATTCTGGAATGTTTTCCTGCTTTGGAAGCCAAATTTTAAATGTGTACTGATTCAGTTTTCTGTATTTTAATGTTGTTTACTATAATAATATAAAATATAATAATATAATAATATAAAACTATGTGTAATCACTCTAATCAGTGAAATCAAACTTAAGTAACATAAAATGATGCTGCTAGTAATTTTAACCTGAAAATGATTAGAGGATGTTAGTCTAAATAGTCAAAATTAATAAACTTAGAATAACAGTTTCCTGTCATTCAATCTTATAATAGAAGGACAAAAATGCTGCTATTGAATCTATATATTAGCTTATGCCAAATACACACATTATCTTTCCATTAACACAATAGTATGACATGTAGTTTTATCACCACTGGATTCATGTATGCTTTAAAATGAAAATGAAAGGAACACACAGGAAAGTAGCTTCTTATCTTCCCAGATACAGCCTCCAAGAATGCCTCTGCTGTGTACTGGAGTGAGTTTGAAGAAATTCAGGTAATCATCTCCTAACCAGCAGCTTAACTTAAAATGCATCTTCATTTTTGTCCTATCACTAAAAGCCTGCTTATTGACTTCTTTCTTTCCTGTCTCCTAAATTTGGATTGGCTTTTGTTAGACTTGCATCTGTTGATATTTGTAGTAGCAATCACAGGATTCATTTGCTTCTTTTTCTCCTGCAGTGTATTTCTGAATGTTTTATAACTTTAGGTATGGATAATGTATATAATGTATATCCTTGGCCAAGTGTGTTCAGAATTCTCTGTTTGATTAATGAATGCGTGTTCCCTATCCCTTGTTTTACGCTGTCTTAACATATAAGCTTTGCTTATTAAAAATTTATTTGTTTTATAGTTTCTCTTTAGATTGTAAGCTCTTCATGGGCAGTGGTCATAGATTCTGTATTTGTTATTTCTTAGAATCTAGTATTTTGTCATATATAAAAGAACATGTAATAAGTATCAATTGGGTTGAGAGTTTAGCTCAGTGGTAGAGTGTTTGTATAGTATGTGGGAGGCCCTAGGTTTGATCAGCCCAGCATCACTAAATAAATAAATATTGTTTACAGAAACAGTGAAAATCAAAAAGATTCTAGAATGCTGTGATTTTCATTAGGACTTACAGTGTATAAAAAATATCTTTTTTCTTTTTTCATATTTTGAGAGCTATGGCATTTTTATTTTTTTAAACTTTCCTCCTCTAAGTTGATATGAGATTTGAAAAGTCATTCTATTACTTTATTTTGTCACACTTATTAATAATATTAACATTTAGGATCTTGTAGCTGTGTCTAGAAATGGAGACGATGTAACCTGAGAGTTCAAGACCCAGTATTCATTATATTATATAATATAATCATCAAGCCACTAAAGCAAGTCTGGGTTCAAGTCTTCTGTCAAGTCAGGTTCTGTGTGTCCAAGCTTCAGAAAAACAAAAYAGAATGATAAGTTGTATAGGATCTTAAAAACAGTTCTGGACTTTACTCATAGAAGGACTTTTTGTTATATTTTAAAACATATATTATATTTGGCTTTTGCCATATACACACACAGAGACCGGATTTGATTATATTCTGAAACATAAACAAATGGATTATTTAGTTAACAAGTTGTTAGAGATACTGGGGTGCCAGGAAAAATTAGATGTGTACTTGGAAGTGTCTGGGCAAGACAAAATTTACTTTTGCAGAAGGGTGTGCTACTGATCAAGGACTGGAAAGCAAGCACACATGGGAGGCAGAGCAGTCCACCTGTTTTTATTCCTAAAGCAACACTGCCCCTTGCTCTGACAGGAGCTCAGGGTCATAATATACCTGGTCAGCTAATTTTAAAATTGGGGCAGGCAAAGGGAAGGTCTATTGTTATGATTGGAAACAGATAGGGGAGCTCAAAATGGCTACATTTTAAGCACATAGTTTTGTAACTTAAATGGTTCTGCCCAACCACACATTGTGAAATTTAAGTGTTAGCTTATAATAAAAATTTCTGGTACATATCGGGAAACTAAGACCATGAGTTTAACTTGGACAGAAAAGAGAACATTAATCTTATAAAGTAATTTCAGAAAATGGTCATATTTAATATGAATTGGAAATTATGGCAATCTTCCAGTTTTGTTTTAAAGGCCATTAGAGTTCTTTGGAAAGTATATTTCCTAGAAGTTTCTTTTTTTTTGGTACAGGAGATTTTGGTACCAGAGATTGAACTCAAGGGCACTAGACCACTGAGCCACATCCCAGGCCTATTTTGTATTTTATTTAGAGACAGAGTCTCACTGAGTTGCTTATTAGCACCTCGCTTTTGCTGAGGTTGGCTTTGAACTTGCAATCCTCCCGCCTCAGGCTCTTGAGCCGCTGGAATTACAGGTGCGTGCCATCACACCTGGCTAGAAATTTAACATCATGGCCAAACTGTGCTAAAACTTTGGTTTTAGTCTATAGATGGTAAGACCAATGGTCTTGTTTTATCTTTTTCTTTTCCTCTACCAGATCCCTTAGTCACATCTAGCAATTCCACTTCTTAGGGTTAACTATCTTTTTTTGAAGATTTAAATGCCTTTCCTCTTCCCTTCAGTGTAGTTAAATTTTCATGGCTGATTATTACAGTCATGTCCTTGCAAACATTCTTAGCTTCTTTGCCTCTTATTCCCTTAGTTCATGTTCTTTGGGCAAAAATCTCAAAACTGGACAAAAGTCATGCCTGTACCTGAACAGCTGAGCATGCCTAAAGAAAATGCTTTTTATAATTTTTTTTWAATTTTAAATTCAGGACTACAAATTTCAAATAAGCACATAATAAGTAGCCTTGCAGTCTTAATTTACTTCCTTGGTACACTGTCCTCCTCTTCATTTTATATTTTCTCTGACCTCATACTCTTAACCTCCTTCCTCTTCTTTCTCAGTGTGCTATGTAAGTTATTAACAAAGAATACAGTTGGGAACTCTCTTCTTTTTCTGTTCATATCCATCACTAAACCAGAATCTCAGCTTGCATTCTTATCCTTTTTGCTGTTTTGTAGTTGAAGTGGTAAACAATCATTTCACTTTTTAAAAACCCTTAGTCTTGCCTTCTATTTTATTACCTATTCCATTTTTCTGTCTCTCTTCACAGATGAATTTCACAAATTATTGCTCATTTATAGCCTCTGTCTACTTGTTTTCATTTCTTCACCTCACATTTTTTCTTTAACTCATTCAGGTTAGGCTTAGATCTCTATTATTCTACCCTAAATGCTCTCAATGTGTTCATCAAGTAGCTTTTATTTTAGTACTCGTACCAAAACAATATTTGCCAAATTTGGGAAAGGTGGGAATTATTCTTAAGCTTTTTAGCCCAAGGAAAATGACTTTTAACATTTGTGATGTGGGCCAGAGTATCATATGTGAGGACAGTGTCATTTATTGAAATTTGAGAACATAGTAGCATGATACTTATACTTAGAATTAAAGGTTTGAATAGTATTGGTAAGTTTTTATTTTGTAGGGTTAATCTGATTAACAGTTAATGGATTCTTAGTATCTCCCTTTCCTTTGAAAAATAATACAATAATAATTTTGGAAACTCTGTATTTCTTTGCTATGCTTAGTTAAAATTTGTGTCATGTATGCCAGTGTACTCTTGCTGCTCAGAAAGGAGGATTAAACTCTTCAAAAGAAATTCATTGTATAAGTATATAWTTTTAACAAATTTATGAAAGCTGCCACAGTCTCTTAATTCCTCAGAAGAGCGAAACAGTACTGTCAGCATTTTAAAAAGATGCCAGTAATTGATTATTTTAAAAAATTTTTTACTTGTTCATTTTTAGTACTGTATGAATTAAACAACCCTCACTCCTTTTCTAGTATAAGAAATGTGGTAGAGTAGAAAAACATCAACTTAATGTTAGAAGACTTGAGTTCAGCATTTTCCTCCACCACTAACTTCTGTGACATTTGACATATTGTTTGGCCTAGACTAGTTGAAATGTAGCTTAAGATTTTAAACTACACCCTGATAATGACTTCACAAAAAGGGCTTAGTGTTGACTAGACTAGGATATGTGTGTGTATGTGAATCTTTTACGCTTTAGAGTTGTTCCTCAAGAGCTAAGCTTAATGTAGTAAATATTAACTGTACAGTTGGTATACATTTATTGACTTTTAATTTGTAAGAGTAGTGACTTTATTCTAGAGTGTTATATTATTACAGAGGTATAACTATTCAAACAGATTTTTAAATTTGTTACTTTAGTCATTTATAAGTAAGCATTTGAAATTACTATAACTCATTTTTAAAGGGTTAGTATTAAATTTTAAATTAAAATTACTTTGTAGTTTCTTGTTATCCTATTATATGCATTTAAAAGTTATAGCGAATTACATTCAGTCTGCAGTTACTCTCCAGCGGACGTATTTTAAATTGACAATATGTGTAACTGCTCATTTTCTTGTTTTCAAGGTCRTGAAGTCTCTAATAAGTTGTTTTATGTGATAACATATGAAGAATTAGCCAGTTTAACATTGAAAAAGTTATTTGTGCATCTTTCAAAATCTTTCAAATAAATTAGTGAAATTTTAAATCTGTTTTATGATTTATAGGCAATCAGTTTGCTTCACTTGTATGTACTTAAAATATTAGCTAGAATTTTGTATGCCCAAAAAGTATTTACTACAATTTATTTAATCAGTCTCTCTTGAGATTTAAAGTATTTCCAGCAAGACCATTTGAAATTATTTTATTCCAATGGAAACTTTAAAATGGAGAATAATAAGAGTTGGTAAGAGCAGAAAAAGAAATTATTAAGTATAAATGTAGTACATTGGCTAAAGGCTTAATAATAAATTTAGTAGCACAGGATTTTAAAAGGTTGGTGTGCCAGGTGAAATAGCACATATCTGTAATCCCAGCTCCTCAGGAAGCTGAAATAGGAGTATCCCAAGTCAAGTCTAGCATGGGCAAGTTAATGAAAAATAAACATAAAGATGGTAAGAGATGTAGCTTAGTAGCAGGGTATTTACCTAACATGCCTGAGGTAAATTATTTGATGTCAATCCCTAGTACCGCCAAAAAATAAAAACAAAGGAACAAAAATGTGTGGTGATATTATATGGGCACAAAGTACTTTTTATAGTTAGTGCATTGATCAGTTTAATATGTGGTCTCTTTACATAGAGATTACAGAGATATTGGTTGAATTAACTCAAAATACAAAGAAACTAATATAGAGGATTTATATTTAAAACATTATACTTATATATGTGCCTGTTAAGAAATATAGTTACAACCAAAAGAATGGAAATAATTACTGCACTTTTATTTCTTTCAGCTCCTGGAACCTGTTTGCCACCAGCTATTTGAACTCTATCGTAGCTCTGAAGTTCGACTGAAGAGGTTCACGCTACAGTTCTTACCAGAATTGATGTGGGTTTATTTACGGCTTACAGTTAGCCGAGACAGACAGAGTAATGGTTGCATTGAAGCACTTCTGTTAGGAATTTATAATTTGGTAAGTTGAAAATGGTAGTTTGTGATATATAAAATACTTTTAAAAAGTCCTCTGAAATCATATTTAAGGAATATTTTGAGAAAATTAAATTGAAATATCTACTGAATAATTTGAACTAATTAAGTATAGATAAGCATTTTATAAAGTAGATGAAACTATAATTGATGGCATTGTTAATCTTAGGACTTATTTCTTCAACTTATTTTATTTGATCACTATTTATGAATGCTTTTTGTGTAAGGAATTGAGTTGACTTTAATGTTGTTCCTGCTTTTAKGGCAACTTATGCTGTATTAGAGAAGATGTTTACACATGAATAATAATGAAAAGTTTGTATGAAAAAGAACTTCAGAGAGAAACTGAAATATTAGCTGAAGTTTTTGCCAACTTTACTAAGAGGAATAGTTTTGACAGGTTGAGATTAGAAGTAGGTGAGATGATAATCAAATGAGCATAAGCAAAGAAGCAGGGAAGTCATGTCATGCCCTGGAAAAAGGAAAGTAATTGAAGCACAGAAGGAAAAATGATTTTTATCAGTTTTAGACAGTCTTTAAAAGTGAAGAGTTTAGGTTTTCTTTAGTATGCATTGGGAAAGCAGTTTTGAGCAGAAGAACTGTGCAGTATATTAGAAAGGTGAATCTGGAAGTTGCAGAGACCTTGGAATTATAAATTGAATTTAGTCATCACTCCTTATATTTTGAAGGCTACATGTTTAATTGAAAAGAGTAGGAGAAGTAGACATGGGATTCCTGTTCTCTTAGGAGAGGATATCAGTTAAGGGGAAAAGTCCAATATACTGTTAAAGCATACTATGATTTTGTAAATCTGAGTAAGAACACAATGGAAACTAGAGTGAGAAAAGAAACAACTAATACTTGATAGTATAATTTGAAGACTGACATGGGGAGGGTATATTAGAAAGGAAAGGAAGTACTTACAAGGTTACAAGGACTGTACAAAGTGAGGTGAAAACGTGGGAGAGAGTTGGGGGAACATGGGAACATGATGACCCTTACATATGACCCTTCTGAAGATTTGAGCAGCAAGACTTTTCCTGTGCAATGCAAGGGAACAAAATAATACATTATATTTCTACCCTGATATGCCTTCTTTAAAGAATTGGAAAATTACCTGAGTTCATCAATAAAGAATTGTGAATATTATGATTATATGTTAGAATCATTGATGGGGGAATGGTTGAGAAATATCCAGCTTAAAACTTAAATGCTTCTATTGAGCTTCATAATATAGAGGTTACATAGATATTTCCAAATCAAAGTGTAGTTTTTCACCCAGAGTGTAGTTTTATCATTAAAATTTGATATAGCAATTTAAAAATGTTAATTATGATTTGATACTGCATTCTTCATGAAACTCTTCTTTTTTAGTACCTTAAAAATTAGTATTGCTTTTGCTTTTTTTCATCATGCTTAATTTAAGACATTTTTGTAAAAATTCTGTCCTTTGAAGTCTTGTGTTCTTTGTATTCAATATACTCTGCAAACAATACTCCACATAATAACATTTGATTTTATAGTTGAGAGGTATAAAGTACTAGATAATTGAGCTTCACAATAAATATTCTATAGCAGTGCTTTTTCCTTTAAGTCTTATCATTTAAATCATTGGAAAATATTTTCCATTACTGGAAGTCTGAAGGAAGGAGTAAGGGCTTTAGAATCATTCATATTCAATTCAAAATCATGAGGTACTATTTATTGGGTATTTTAAATTTTGAGCAAGTTACTTAATATCTTGACTACTGTTGCCTCACCTGCAAAACAAAAAAATAAAACATTGTTAGTAGAATTAAAAGTAATTGAAACCAAGTGGGCGGGGTGCCACACACACCTGTAATCCCAGCAGGTAGGGAGTCTGAGGCAGGAGGATCTTGAGTTCAAAGCCAACCTCAGTAATAAGCTAGGTACTAAGCAACTCATTGAGACCCTGTCTCTAAATAAAACACAACATAGGGCTAGGGATGTGGCTCCATGGTTGAGTGCCCCTGAGTTCAATCCCCAGTACCAAAAAAAAAAAAAAAAAAAAAAAAGGCAATTTGAAGATATTTAATAAATGTTTATCATTTTTATTGTCATCATACTTGAGGGTAGGCTTTTTTTTTTTAATGAAAAACTAGGAGTAAAATTTTCTACTTTGCTAACTTACTTGATTATTTTTTCTTTTAAAACAGGACATTTGTTTTATGTATCCTGTGTTTTCTCTAGTGTTGGCTACATATTTAGTAATGTTTGCTGATTTAGTAATTTAGTGTTTTAGATTATTTTAACATTAAGCTATAATTTTTATTAATTTGTTTCATGTAATAATTTAGTAATTGGATAAATAAAAGATATTTTGTGAAGCAGATTGTTTGCAAGTTATTGGCAGTACTTATTGGTTTTAATTATATTTTGACACTTCAAAAATAGCATACTATATAAGAAAATGCCAGTTATAAGTAAGAAATTTAACCTCAGATTTCTGACTTTTAATTCCCATAATAAACGTATTCACTTTTCTCTGTGGTTCTCAGTTTTTTTTCCTATGTACTGATTTCTCTCTTTTCCTCCATTTCTTCCTCTCCCCCCCCCTCCCGCCCAAATAACCCCAGAGGGAGTTTTATATGGCCTTTAACAAGTTTCAGCATATCTTTCTCCATAAGATATGGAGAAATACACACAAAGATAACTTCAAAATATTGGGCTAAATGGTATACTTAATAATAAAAATTGAATTTTTGGGCGGGGGGGGGGTATGTCTAACTTAAATCAGGCCCCTTTATCTTAGAATAAACATTTTTTGCAATACAATGACCAAGGTGTGGTAATAACTAGTTTGATTACAAAGAAGCTATGTGGGGTCTCTGGAGACTTTTCTTGCCAAAATTCGAGAATGGTATTTGTTCATGTGTAATTTGTACTCTCTCCTAACATAGTAAACTCAGAAATGAGTCCATTGGGAAGTTCTTTCAGGTTTGTGTCTTAGTGATGATAGTTGTTTTTATTGTTATTCTGTTTATTGTTTTTATTTTCCTTTTATGCTGTGCTGTTACTCATTCTCTGACTACCTGCCATCCAAGTCTACTAAGGACAGTATGGGTTTTAAGCCAGTGATGTGTACTAATATGAGTTATAAAGAAACATAAAAGTAAGGCAATAGGCAAAAAGAAAGATGCTGCAGCTTAGGCTCCTGATTGTCATTCATAGGCAGATGTTTATTGATACCTGAGGAAGTTTAGAGGAACTAGAGGCTGGAGAAATGAAGGACACCTTTGTTCTTTTTATGAAGAGATAATGTTGTTTAAAAATTTTCTTGAAGCTCAGTAGAAATTATCTAAATGTAAATTTATTTTTAATCACGTGGATTGATCAGTTATGTTAACATGTTTATTTTAGTTCAGTAGTTTATTGCTGAATGATTGCAAGAGTTTTTTTTTTTAATTCAGGATTCATTCTTAAGAAAGATGACAGGTATTGTGTATATTAGTTTGATTGTGGTTGTAACATGCTGTACACAATAAATACATGTAATTTTTATTTGTTAATTATGCCTCAGTAAAGCTGGAAAAAAATCCATTCTGCATTACAACAATGTTTTAATCTCCCTGTTCTATATGTAAATTTAACATAAAATTGATTTATGTGCCTGTTTCTTGTATTGATTTAGTGTAATACTTTGCTCAATAGATCTCTGTGGGTTTTAAATACTCCCATAGTATACAAATTTGCTGATAATTAAGTTATAAAAAATATGATAGGGTAGTAATATGTTTAATATATCATTTTTAAAATTCTTTAGTTACCAATTATATTCTATAAATTAAGGAAGTAATTATTTTTTCTGTACAGTATAAACCTGTGATTATTTCATTATCTTTGTGCTTTTTTTTTTGTGTGTGTGTGTGTGTGTGTGACTATAGGAAATTGCTGATAAAGATGGAAATAATAAAGTTCTATCTTTCACTATCCCTTCCTTATCCAAGCCTTCAATATACCATGAAGTAAGTAACCTGGGGAAGATGTGATTGTTATATTGAGATATAATATATATTATTATATTGAGATACAAAGCCATTTTTTAAAAACCAGAGATAGAATCCTAACATATGTTTACTGACTTGTTTCTTTATTTTTTAGTATATCTATATTTTTAGCTGTTGATGGACCTTTGTTTTATTAATTAATTAATTTATTTATTTATTTATTTATGTGCGGTGCTGAGAATCGAACTCAGTGCAAGCGCTCTACCACTGAGCCACAACCTTAGCCTCTGACTGGTTTCTAAAAAGTAGATGTTTGTGCCAGATGTAGTGGTTATGCCTGTAATTCCAGCAACTCAGGAGGTTTAGAAAGGAGAGTAGAAGGTTCAAGGCCAGTCTTGGCAATGTAGTGAGACCCTGTCTCAGAATAAAAATAAAAGGGCTGGAGATGGAGCTCAGCACCCCTGAGTTCAGTCCCCAGTACCACCAAAATAAACAAACAAATAAATAAATAAAATCAGTCRTTTGTTAGCTTGGCAACTTGGTGCACACTAATAACCCAGCGACTTAGGAGGCTGAGACAGGAGAATGCAAATTATATGTTTGTATTATATTTCCAGCCTGCCCTTTTGTTATTGGTGATGTTAAGACTGAACTTTGTGAAGAGAGGTGGAAAGTAGTTAATGAAAAAGTTTCCTTTAGTTCTTATTTCTTCTACCACCAGTATCATTTTAATTTTTAAAATAGATTTTTGTGGATTTTTAAAGATAAATCTTACTTTTAAAAGTCTTCCATATCCCTTAGAAACTATCTGTTAAATTGTTTCATTTTTACTATTCTTTAGGAAACTGACTACTTAGAATGTTAACACCATTGTATTTCAGGGTAAAGGAGTCTAATTCACACAATCTAGCTAATCAATAACATTATACTTTTTTGCTTACCTTTATTTTGTTGAATATGAGAACACTGATAATTATATGGGTAGATGATGCCTGTCAGGCTGAACTCTTTCTTCCTGCTCTCTTTAAGTAAAATCCAACAAAGAAGTGAATCAAACTTGTGATCTTCAGTGTTCAGTGCATAAAATTGTGAGGAAAGTATTTACAGAAACATTCTAAAAATTATATTCCATTTTCCTGTCAACATAGTATCCTTCTTGTCTAATAGCTGTATACAGCAATTAACTTTCTTAATTAATTCCCCTGGWCTTTGTTTTCTGTTGAAATAGAAAGTCTCCTGTTTAGCCAGGATTCATTTTTAGCATAGACTACTTCATAGATTTATGCTAGCATAGATTTTATGTAAGTTCTTGGTATTGTGTTATGAAATAAAATGGAGGATAGTGAAACACTAATGAGTTTTTTTTAACTTGAGAAACCTGAAATCATTTATGTCAGTATTTAAAAAAAGACTTGCCAGGTGTAGTGGCTCACGCCTATAATCCAGCGACTTGGGAGGCTGAGGCAGAAGTATTGCAAATTCAAAGCCAGATTCAGCAATTTAGTGAGGCTCAAAGCAATTTATTGAGACCCTGTCTCTAAATAAAACATAAAAAAAGGATCAGGGATGTGGTTCAGTGCTTAAGCACTCTGGGTTCAATCCCCAATTACCCTTCTCCCCCTGCCAAAAAAAAACCTTTAGATTATAGTCCTCAATATTGTTTGTATTAAATGATTATAAGCAATTATGATCTTTTCTGGAGTACAAAAAAATTAAAATTGATTTTTTTAAAATGACTGATTCCTAGTTATTCCATAACTTTGAAAAAATGAAGCAGTATGTTTTAATTTTATCTATTTTACATACATAATTTCCTAAATAAGCTGTAGAATTTGTATAATTGAGAAATGGAAAAGATTTCAAAGGAGAAGAATAAATTATCTGATACTGCCTTTGTTTAAGCAAAAATAAATATGATTACATGATACAGACTTTATTTTAGAGACACTATCTGATACTGTACCTTATTTTGGTAGCCCTCAACAATTGGATCTATGGCTTTGACAGAAGGGGCTTTGTGTCAACATGATCTCATCAGAGTTGTTTATAGTGATCTTCATCCTCAGAGAGAAACATTCACTGCACAAAACAGGTAATGGACAAAATTGTAGATGGTAACAATTGTAAATTTATGCTTCATAGTTAWCCATGATTACTTCAGTTTAGGTTTGATATAAGAACAGTTCAAAAGCAAAGTAGTGAAATACATGGTAGTACAGATTGAGCATCCTTAATCTGAAAGTCAAAAATCTGAAATGCTCCAAAATCTGAAACTTTTTGAGTGCCAGCATAACACTGCAAATAGAAAATTCCATACATGACTTCATGTCATTGGGACATAATAAAAATGCAGGTACACTAAAATTATTGTATAAAATTACCTTCACATTATGTATATAAGGTATGTATAAACATAAATTAATTTCTTATTTATACTTGGGTCTGAACCCAAGATATTTCATAAATATTCCCAAATTCAAAATTCTTCTGGTCCCAGTCATTTTGGATATTGGTTATTCATCTTGTAGTTAATACCCATCTATCTAATGCTTGGTAATATGTTATGGTAATCTTATATAAAACTTGTAGAGTGTGGGTGTGGAGTCAGCCAAACCAGTATTCATGTTCTAGTACTGCAATGTGGAATGTGCCCTTGGGGCATTTTATCTAATCTCTACACTTTGCTTTTTTGATTATAGAATGGAATTAGTACCTAATATCAGATAAATTGCAAAGTTTGAGGGCACAGTTCCAAGACTGTCCTCAATTCTGATAGCAACAAAAGTTTTCTGGAGCGGGTGGGGACCCCCAAACCACCCTTTTGTTTAATGATTTTCTAGAAGAACTTTCAGAACCCAATAAAAGCCATTGTTCACAGCTGTGGTTTATTATAGGGAATGGATACAAATTAAAATCTGCCCGAGGAAGAGATGTGTGGGGTAGAATATGGGAGGACCCCCAAAACACAAAGCTTCTATTTTCCTTTCCCACAGAGTCAGAATACCTCCTAGCATCAATGTATGACCATATACACAGAGGGTTGATGTCTCAGGAAACTCTCAAGCTTTGATTTCCAGAATTTTATTGAGGCCTCATTGTATAAGCATGAGTAGTTAAATTGATTGCCCATATGGTTGATCTCAGCCTCCAACTTGACTGATACAGTATGACCTGAAGCCATCACATTAAATCACACTGTGGTTCTTTCTGGCATAGCCAGCCCCCACCTAAAATGTCAAATGTGTACAGCACTACCCTAAGTTTTGCTGTCACCTGCCCCTACCCTAAACAAAGATATTTCTAATTATATATTTCTAATTAGTTACTTCCTAAAATCAAGGACCAGTCTTCTCTTTGGGCAAGGCCAATTACTTACTATATAGGCCATGTCCTGGTCATTGACCAAGGCTCTTTTAAGCAAAAATAAATGTGTTTACCTGGATAAACACATTTAGTATAGCATTTGTATAACACAGCATACTATCATCATGAATATGTCTAACTAACATTTGGAGAAGGTAATATAAGTTAGGGATTTAAAGAAATAACTAACTTGCCTTTTAAAGCCACTGTAAGCATTTTGTAGCAATTTGGTCTACTTTGTGATATACTTAGGCAGAAATGTTTTTCATAGAAATTAGCTGATGATTAATTAAACCTAGCAGTTTTCATTAGTATTCATACTGAGGAGATTTTACCTCAATTTAGGAGTACATTTACTCATTAAGATCAAAATTATGTGCTAGGGTTGTAGCTCAGCGGGAGAGTGCTTGTCTCTCATGCCTGAGACCCTGGGTTCGATCCCCAGCACCACATCTACAACTAAAAAAAATTTTAAAAAAGATCAATATTATAACTTTACCAGTAATGTCAGTGTTGTACCATATCATAAGATGGCAGTAGCTATAACCTGTCAGAGGAGGGGATTTACATACCTCCTCTTTTTAATGGAGGTATGTAAATCCCCTCCTCTTTTTAATGTGGTTGGCTTTCTATATCTATGTATTCTATATCTATGTATTCAACCAACCATAGATGGAAAGTATTTGAAAAAAATTGCATTTGTACTGAACACATGGACTTTTTTCTTGTCACTCTTCCCTAAACAATACATTATAACAATCATTTATATAATGTTTGCATTTATTAGGCATTATGGGTAATCTAGAGATGATTAAAGTGTGTGTGTAGGTAGGTACACATAAGTTATGTGCAAATACTGTATTGTTCTATATAAGGATTTAAGCATCTGTGGATTTTGAATATTACAAGGGTTCTTGAACTGATTACCCCTGAGGAATAACTCCTAGGCAGGAGAAAGCATTCTCCAGACACAGACACATTTCTGTAGTTGTTGACCTCTGATGAAGTGCTTGGCCAGAATTCTATTTCTTCTTACCGTCTTATAGATTTTACACATATGGTAGAAAATGGTATGATTTTCCATATGTCCTGACATGTTGTTTGGAATATAACTTTGATGATTGTTTTTATAAGCAAGGTGCTTTATATTTATAACTCTTGGAGAAGACTTTATCCCAACTTTAAATAACAGGGTTTTTTGTTTCTATGTAGTAATGTTGATTTATTCAAATCCTTCCACAATATAAACTTAATATATTAAGAACATTGGCTCATAAATAGTCTGAAGACCTCCTCATATAAAATCACCTAGTTTCCTGGTTCCTTTTTGTTTTATAATTTAAATTATTTAAAGAATAAAATTACATACTTGTGGTAAATTTAAAATAGAACTTGGAATAAAATGAAAATAGATGAGAATGCAAAGAGTAATATAAGTGTAACTTTATCCTTCCAATCACCCATTTCTACTTCCAGTAATTAAACTGTTAGCAGTTTTTTATGTGTCCTTTTAAAATGATTTATATGTACATAGCATATATTGAACCTTAAACACATGCAGGCCCATATACATGGGATTTAGTTGTATATATTATATAACAATTTGCTTTTTACACCAAAGAATAGATCTTTAACTTCTTCCTCTAGCAGTGCATATAGATCTCTTCATTCTTTTTTTCTTTCTTTCTTATTTTTGCACTGTCAAGGATTGAATGCGGGGCCTTACATATGTTAGGCAGCCTCATTCTTCTTTAATGAGTACTTGTTATTTTGTTTTATRTATGTACTGAGGAGATTTTACCTCAGTTTTGCTTTTTTTTTGAGCCCTGTATACCTGGGCTCAAGAAATTCTCCAACCTCATCCTCCTCAATAACAGGACTAAAGACACATGCCATCAGGTCCAGCTGTACCATCAGTTTTTTGGCAGTCTCATATTGAATAAATTTAGATTGTTATCAGTTTTTTGCTGCTATAAAGAATACTGCAAGAAACACATATTTCTCTGTATGTTTTGCATGAGAGCACAAAAATTATCTACAATGATTATCTGTATGAGAAATTCCTGGAGGTAAGTTGTTAATGCTAAGGAATGTATATTTATTCATTTGGTAGATATTACCAAATTACCCTCCACAAAACAACTGTACCAATTGAATGTTCCACCAGTGTCTTCAGAGTGCCTGTTTCCTCTTTCTGACCAATTTGATAGCTAAAACTTGATGTCATTTTGTATTCATTCATTTTAGCCGGTGCTTGAATACATTTATGTATTAGTTCATTGTTTTTCTTGACCTATATCCTGTATCCTTTTTTCATATTGTACTGTGTATTTTTTCCTTACTGATTTGCAATATTTTGAATGTTGAAATAATAACTCTGTTTTACTTGTTGCGAATTTTCAGTTAATTATTGGCTTTAACTTTATTTTTAAATATAAATATAATTTACATACCACAAATTCTGAAAAATTGCTTGGTGTGGGCCTATTCCATCCATTCTGAACACTAAGTGGACCTTTTAGATTTGGAAACTCATGCTCTTCAGACTGGGAATTTTTCTCGAATTGTTATTGTTAATTAGTTCGGACTTTCCACTTTATATAATCTTTCATCTGGAGCTCTTTTAATTTGGATATTGGATCTCCTAGATCCTTTCCTTTTTCATTTGCCATGGCTTTACTTTCTGAGACTGTTCCTCAACTGCATTCACCAATCATTCTTGACGTTTTGTTGGTATTGGGGATTGAGCCCAGGGATGGCTTTACACTGAACTTTGGACACCCCAGCCCTTTTTTTATTTTTTATTTTGAGACAGGGTTTTGCCAAGTTGCCCAATCTGACCTTGAACTTGGAATTCTCCTGCCTCTGACTCCTGAGACACTAGGATTAAAGGTGTGCAACTTTGCGCCTGGCTTTCTTGAGTTTTTAATTCTTGCAGTTTTTTTTTTAATCTAAAAAGCTTTTACAGTTCTCTGAATACATTTTTGAAATTATATCTTCTTATTTTTGAGAATATTAATAGTATAGTAATTAGTTACGAAAAGTTATTTTTTCTTTATATGCTAGTTTCATCAGATTGCCTTTTTCCTTTTTTAAATTTTAGTCTCTTTCATATTAATAGAGTTCCTCATTTGTTTAGTAGTCTTTTTTTCCCCCCTTATTTAAAAGTAGGGGAATAAAAATAAGAAGCTCTGACCACGTTAGTGGGCTAATTGTGAGCTTCCCTGTTGGGTGATCTCACTGTGGCACTCACTTGGGAAATTTCATGAGTCCAAATCTTGGAAATCTTTCCCTTAAGAGTCATCAAATTCATCTAGTTCCCTAAGTAGTGGGCTGGCTGCTAGCATTCTGATGGCTGAGTGGCGAAGGAGAGCTTGAGGTCTCAATATTCAGCAAGACATATTTGACTTCAATCTTTGTTTAGTATTACCCCCTCACCCCTACACACACATCAAATCACAGTTGTGCCTGTTGGCTCCTAGGCAAGAATTCTCTTTTATCCTTTCAGAAAATAAGTCTTCAGTATTACCTAGATGAATGGAGAAGGAGACAGGATTTGAAGGTATGATTGCTTTCAAATCAGGCTTTCACCTTTTACCTTTTTATTTCAAAATAATTTCAGACTTACAAAAATGTGGCAAAAATAATGTAAAGAGTTTCCACATACCATTTACCATCCATCTGTGGAAAGGCTTTTAAAAGTACAACTCCTCTGGGTCTTGTCCTCAGAGGTTCTTAATTGGGTCACTCTAGATGGAGACATAGGAACATATGTTTTTAAAAAGTCTTGTATAACTAGTATGGATCCAGGTTTAAGAGCCACTTTTTTTTAGAGACTATAAATATTAGAAAAGCATTTATTTATTCATTCAATAACTATTTATTAAGCAATTATATTAGACACTGTGCTAGACATTAACAATAAGGATGAAAAAGTCAGGTTCTTTGTCCTAAAGTTGCCTGTAACTAAATGAGTAAAACCAAGAAAGAGGGAGAAAGTTATAATTCTGTAGAATAAATGCTGTTTTAGACCTGCAGTTTTTTTCAGCTAGGATAATTAAGAATAGCTTTATGTCTAAGGTAAAAATATGAGCTGGGAGCTGGGGGAGCTCAGAGGTAGAGCAGTTAACTAGCATGCATGAGTTTCTGGGTTCAGTCCCTAACACCACTTGATCCAAAACTTGAAACCTTAGCGGGAATTTTCCAAATAAGAAAGTATTGTAGTAAAAAGGAGCAGCATGCATTAAATTAGGAGTTACAAAAGCTTATAACATAATCATGGAACGGTGAGAGGATTAATGTAGTATGTATATGTAGTGGGCAGTGAAGGGGAGGAATAAAGCTGGAGAGGTAAGTTCAAGGTGGATTTTAAAGGACCTTGTAATAAAGATTCCATGATTTTAAAGGACCTTCTAGTAAGTTTGGATTTCATCATGTAGTGAATAGCAACATGTTAGACTTCTAATGATAGGGGATAGGGGAGTCATCGATTTAAGGATGATGATTTGTTTTTTAAAGAAGAAAATATTGATGGCATCCAGGGATATGGCTTGTAATAATGAGATTGGAAACTGAAACAGAGGATGCCATAGTAATCTGAGAAATCACGAAAGTCAATATTAAGGTATTAAAGCCATTCGGTGAATAAAACATTTACTGTAGTCTCTAGTGGAAATAATTGTATGCAGTATTTTTTTTTCCATTGTTTATTTCTTCCAGGTTTGAAGTCCTGAGTTTTCTCATGCTATGTTATAATTCTGCTATTGTGTATATGCCTGCCTCATCTTACCAATCTCTTTGTCGTATGGGCTCCAGGTGAGAAGTGTGATTTTAATTAACTTTCATATTCATTAATTTATTTGACAGATATTTATTGAGTATATTCTCTATGCCAGACACTGTTCTAACGTATCATGATACAGTAATAAAACAATTTTACAGAGCTTATATTTCTGTAGGAGTCCTCTTCATCCCTATGATTTCTGGAAAATTATTTCAGCATTAAAAGAATATTTCCTAGGTGAACAAGGAGTTAGGCCAAGTTAGCATTGTTGAGTGATATGCCTAATCACTCCCTGGATGCCGCTTTTTAGAAATCATGGTGAGAAATAAGGAATGTAAACTTTTTCCTTTATATGTTTAACAAATAACAGTCTCTGTATTGAAGATTAATAATTGCAACAGTTATCTGTGTGTATGTGTTGGTGGGGAATTAGGGGGTGATGTTCTGTGTCTCACAATAACCTTTATTATATTAGAATTTCTAATTTCATAGACATGACTGAAATTTAAATTTGCTCTATAGAAAAAAATATTTTGTATTCTGTTTTTATATTCATTTCTTTCTTCCCCCACATTTTTTATTGGTGCATTGTAGTTGTATAAAATGATGTGGTTTGTATTGTTACATATTGGTACATGCACAATATATAGCAATGTAATTTGAACAATAACATTGCCCTCGTTTTACCAATTTCCTCCCCTCCTCCTTCCCCTTAGTCCCCTTCCTTTATTCTACTGAGAATCTTTGATTTTCATGAGATCCCCTCCCCCGCACCTTTCTTTTCCTTTTTCCTCTCTAGCTTGCACATAAGAAAGAAAACATAAGACCCTTATTTTTGAGTTTGACTTATTTTGCTTAACATGTTCTCAAGTTCCATTCACGTTCCTGCAACTGTCATCATTTCATTTTTGTTTATGGCTGAGTAAAATTCCATTGTGTATATATATCACATTTTCTTTATCCGTTCATCCATTAATGGATACCTGGGCTGGTTCCATAATTTGACTATTGTGAACTGTGATGGATATGCATGTATCACTATAGTATAATGACTTTAATAATTCCTCAATATAAATACCAAGAAATGGTATAGCAGGGTCATATGCCTAGTCTTTTAAGGAGGCTCCATTACTGATTTCCGTAGTGTATTGGACTAATCTACAGTCCCATCCAACAGTGTAAAAATATTCCTTTTTCTCCATATCCTCTCCAGCATTTATTCTGCTTCGTATTCATGATGACTGCCATCTGACTTGCATGAGATGAAATCTCAGTGTTGATTTGCATTTCCCAAATTGCTAATGATGTTGAACATATTTTTCTTGTATTTGTTGGCCACTTGTATTTCTTCTTTTGAGAAGTGTCTCTTTAATTCATTTGCCCACTTATTAACTGGAGGTGGTTTTTTAATTTTGGTGTTAAATTTTGAGTTCTTTATATATTCTAGATATCAGTCCTCTGTCAGAAGAGTAGTTAGCAAACATTTTCTCCTCATCTGTGGGTTTTCTCTTCACATTCCTATTTGTTTCCTTTGCTGTACAAAAGCTTTTAAATTTGATGCTGCCCCATTTATTAACTCTTGGCGTTATTTCCTGAGCTTTAGTGTTCCTATTGAGGAAGTTATTGCCTGTGCCTAAAAGCTGGAGCATTGACCCTGTGTTTTCTTCTATCAGTTGCATAGTTTCTGGTCTAATTCCAAGGTCTTTGTTCCATTTGGGGTTGATTTTTGTGCAGGGTGAGAGATAAGCATCTACTTTCATTCTTCTATGTATGGATAACCAGTTGTCCCAGCACTGTTAAAAGGGCTGTCTTTTCTCTGAGTGGATATAATTGGCACCTTTGTCAAGGATCAGATGACAGTATCTGTGTGGGTTTGTCTGTTTTGTACCATCGGTGTATGTGTCTGTTTTTATGCCAGCATCATGCACTTTTTATTAGTATAGTTCTGKAATGTAATTTAAAGTCAGGTATTGTGGTAGCTTCAGCATTATTTTTTTGGCTTAGAATTGCTTTGACTATTCTGGGTCTTTTATTTTTCCAGATGAATTTTAGGACTGCTTTTCCTAGTCCTGTGAAGGATGTCATTGGTACTTTGAAGGGGATTGCATTGAATGTGTATATTGCTTTTGATAATATGGCCATCTTAACAAAATTTCCTGCCTATCCCTGATAATGAGATGTCTTTCCATCTTGTATCATCTTTAATTTCTTTCTTCGGTGTTCTATAGGTTTCATTGTTGTACAGGTCTTTGACTTCCTTGGTATTTTATTTTACCTTTTTGAGGCTATTGTGAATGGGATTGTTTTCCTGATTTCTTTCTCAACAGATTCATTATTGGTATATAGGAAACTATTGATTTTTGTAACCTGTGACTCTGCTGAATTTGTTGATTAGATCTAGCAGTTTTTTGGTGGAGCTTTTTTGATCTTATCATCTACAAATAGTGATAATTTGATTTCTTTGTTTTCTATTTTTATCCCTTTTGTTTTCTTCTCACCTAATTGCTCCAACTAGAATTTCTAACACTATATAAAATAGGAGTAGTAAGAGTGGCAATCCTTCTCTTGTTCCAAATTTTAAAGGAAATGCTTTCAGTTTGTCCCCATTTACTATGAGGTTGATTTTGGTTTTGTTTTTTATTATATAGCCTTTATGATGTCCCTTCTGTCCCTGGTTTCTTCAGTGTTTTTATCATGAATGGGTGCTGAATTTTGTTGAAGGCTTTCTCTGCATCTGTTGAAATTACTAAATGTTTTTTGTCCTGAATTCTATCTATGAATTATTTTTTGGTTTGTGTATATTAAACCATCCTTGAATAAAAACATCTCTGGAATAAAACCAACTTGGTCATGGTGTGCAATGTTTTTTAATATATTGTTGGATATGATTTGTTAATATTAAGTATTTTTGCATCTAAATTCATCAGGGATATTGGTCTGTACTTTTCTTTCCTTGTTGTGACATTACTTGGTTTTGGTATGAGTATGATATGGCCTCATAGAATGAATTTGGAAGTGTTTCTTCCCTTTCTATTTCATGGAATAATTTGAGGAACATTGGTGTATAGTTCATCTTTAAAGGTCTGGTAGAATAGAAAAAAGTTCAAGTAATATAAATTAATTTAGAGTCACAGAATTTCAATTCTGTCCTATCCAACTAATTTCTACTTGAGGAAACTCAACTGCTCCTTCTGCCCCCCAGAAAAGTATAATACTATGTTTGTCTTCTGTTGTGCATAACAATCGCCACAAACTTCGTGGCTTGAAACATCACACACTTATCTGGGCATGAGTTAGCTGGTCCTCTGGTTGGGATCATATGGTTAAAATGTTGTCTGGAGTTGCAGTCTTACCTCAGATTCAACCCTTGTTGGCAGAATTCTGTTCTTGTGGTTGTAGAGCTGAGAGTCCTAGTCCATAGCATCCAGGACCTGAATGATCTGCTGATGTGCAACAAGTCTTCCTGAGATTGCTTACAGTTTTTTCTGTTGTGTATTGGGTAGCCCAGCTGACCATCAGTTTCTTATTGGTTGTCTGCCAGAGTTGATCCTCAGTTCCATGCCATGGACCTCCCAACATAGGCAGACTACAACATGACAGCTTCAAAGCTTAGAGAAGGAGTGAAAAGGATCCCAGCAAGACCCTTTACCTTAAGTAACATAGTCACATAGTCATAAACACATAACTGGGGAATCCCATTACCTCATAGATCATACCTTTACTTAAGGGAGGAGGGTAAATACCAGAAAGGAGGGAATCACAGGGATAGAGGCCTTCCAAAAGATTGTCTCCTACCACAAATGCTTAGCTGAAGTTCATATACTGTTGTGTTACTTGGAAGAGAATGTGATCCTGTTTATAACATTAATGTTGGTAAGTGGGTCAATCTAAATTAGTTATAACTGAAATTTTACAGATTATCTTAAAATAAGTACATTATTTCATCTGTAATAACATCAGTGGGCAACAGAGTATTTCTAAATTAGATTCTGTTTTCAAGAGCATACATTGTGGGCTGGGGATGTGGCTCAAGCGGTAGCGCGCTCGCCTGGCATGCGTACGGCCCGGGTTCGATCCTCAGCACCACATACCAACAAAGATGTTATGTCCACCAAATACTAAAAAAATAAATAAATATTAAAAAAAGAGCATACATTGTTTAAGCACTTACTGCCTATCTTAATATAACATTATAAAAGACTATTTCAGGTTCATTAAAAGAAATGCGCTTGTTGTCATTTGGCAGCATTTTTATGGCCTTTAGTAGAATTTTGTTTATTTTTGTGGTATTAGGGCTTGAACCCAGAAGCAGTCTACCTAAGCACTACATCCTGAACCCTTTGTGTTGCCTTTTTTTTTTTTTTTAATTTTGAGACAAGGTCTCACTGAGTTTCTTTGTCTGGCATTGGACTTGCAACCCTCCTGGTTCAGCCTCCTGAGTTGCTGAAATTAAGGGCTTGTGTCACCACATATGGCTAGAGTTTCTTAATAACAAAAGTGATGGCAGAGTTTAATGGTCCTGAAAATTGTTTTTTGTCCCCTTAAGAATTCTGAAAAATTTTATCTTTTGTACATTTTTAAGTTGATGTGTAAACTGTTTTGTCCTATCTTAAACATTTGCAAATGATATATGATTTCTACTATATAAATACTGATATAATAAAAAAGTTAGGTTATTTCAAATATGTGTAGCTTAAATGCCATGGAGATATAATATTCGCCATCATCCATTGATAAATAAACAAGCAAGACTGTTCTCTAATAGTCTAACATTACACAATTTCCTGGAAATTGAATTTCTAGTCCACTTTCTTTAAACAATTTTCTCTTAATATAATGCTGTTTTCAACTTTTTTAATATTTATTTTTCAGTTTTCGGTGGACACAACATCTTTATTTTATTTTATGTGGTGCCGAGGATCGAACCCAGCACCCCGCGCATGTCAGGCGAGCGCGTTACCGCTTGAGCCACATCTCCAGCCCTGTTTTCAACTTTTTATTCATCACTTAATTGCTATAGATATGTATGTGTGTACATATTTGTGCATATGTGTGTGTATACATATAACAATTATCCTAATATTTTAACTGATTTACATAATCTGAGCTGGGTATGGTGGTGCAMACCTATGATCCCAGTTACTTAGGAGACTGAAGCAGGAGACTTATAAGTTTGAGGCTAGCATGGGCAAGTTAATCAGACTCTTCTCTTACTAGAGAGAGAGAGAATTATGAACCTATTGCACTTAAGGATTTAATAATCTTTTTTCACAAAAACTATAAATTTTGTGGAACATTTTATCTTCTGTTTATTATTAAGGAAACATCTCTATCATATGAAAGGTAGGGAGTTGTTTATGGCACAGCTCTCTCTTCTTTAACCCTGCCCAAAAAGGTGGCAGTTATTTTTTTTTGTTTGGCATCATGGCTACCTTCAGATCTCTTGTAAAGCTCAAGTTCCTCAAAAAGAAGACCAAGAAGTTTATCTGGTATGGGTCAGACTGATACATCAAAATTAAGTATAACTGACAGAAACCCAGAGGTGTTACAGCAGGGTGTAGAGAAGACTCAAGGGACAGGTCTTGGTTCTGTGAGCGACAAAGAAACAAAGCATATGCTGTCCAGTAGCTTCTGAAAGCCCCTGCTCCACAACATCAAGGTGCTTCAAGTGCTGCATATGTGTAACAGATCTTGTTGTCTGAGATTTTTTTCCGTGTTTGCTTCTGGAAATAGCAGCCCAGCTGGTTATCAGAGCCACTAATCCTGGTGCCAGGTTGCACAGTGAAGGAAATGAATAGATAGTTCGTGTGCATATTTTATTTTGATTAAATCAAACAAAAAAAATCTTTGAATAAAATTAAAATGACCTCGTAGCCAACAGTATTTTTGAAATGTCTGTTTTGTGATTTCTGTGCTTCAGAGTAATTTGCCTTGTTTGGATGAATAAAAGCCAGTCATTTGTGTGCGTGTGAGTGAAAAGGAAAGCATGAGAAGAGCAAAATGAATATTTGTGAAAGAGGTTTTTAGTTATTTGATAAAAGTTAGCTTTAATGGATATAGTCCACTAGAATGTATGCTTTGTGAAGATACAGGTTTTATTTTTTAATCTTTTATTTTTATTTTTAGGTGGACACAGTATCTTTATTTTATTTTTATGTGGTGCCGAGAATCGAACCCAGTGCCTCACGCATGCTAGGCAAGCACGCTACCACTTGAGCCACATCCCCAGCCCTATTTTTTAATCTTTTACCTGTTCATGACCGTATCCTAGGCCAAGAACAGTGACTGGCATATAGTAGGCATCAATTAATATTTAAGGAATGAATAATTGAACAAATGAATTTATAAAAGCACAATTACTGTATTTAGTGAATCAGGAAATCACACATACCTTATTTTTCTAGGGTTTGTGTGAGTGGGTTTCCACGACAACATGAAAAACACTGGAAAGAACTCTGTGGTCGAATAGTATTGGATCCTGAATTTATGGTGCAACTTCTCACAGGGGTTTATTATGCCATGTAAGTAGGTGGTAGATGAAATTTATGAATTCTTCCTTATTAGATGTAACAAAGGGTCTTTTGTCCCAGGATGAGCACACTATCTTGTTTTTCTAATGTAGTTTCCTTTCATTATTTTTAAAGTAGCAAATATATAATTAGTTGTTAAAATTAGAGTCATCCTAAAAATTTTCAGGTTTTCTGTATGGAAAATTATCTCTAAAAAGTTCATAACTCAAGTTTTCATGAATGCATTAAGTATAGGATTGAATATTAGCCACATGTGATAAAAATCAACTTATTTGAAGAAGCATCTATAAACTACTTTAAACATAGTATTTGAAATGTCCTTTGTTATTATAACCAAAATTAAAACATTGTAGAAATGAAATAATATAACAATCGATGTGAAGCCAGGCGTGATGACGCATGCCTATAGTCCCAGCAGCTTTGGAAGATATGTAAATTTGAAGCCAGCCTGGGCAATTTGGTGAGACCCTATCCCAGGTAAATTAATTAAAAAGATTGGCTGTATAGCTCCTTGGTATCGTTCCCCTGGGTTTGATCCCCATTACCAGGAAGGAAAATTTTGATGTGAAAATCTTATTTACAACCCAAATAGTAGGACTTAGAATTAAAAAAAAAAAAATTATGTGAGGATTAGAGATATTTGCTAAAGATAGTATATGATATGTTTATCTACAGGTATAATGGACAGTGGGATGTTGGCCAGGAAGTTCTCGATGACATCATTTATAGAGCGCAACTAGAACTTTTTTCTCAACCACTATTGGTAAGTTATATTTACTTTTTTTTTTCCTCCTCCTTCTTAGCCCTAGAAATTGAACCCAGGGGCACTCTACTACTGAGCTACCTCCCCAGCATCCTACTCCATTTTTTTACCCCCCCTTTTAAGACATCCTTTCACTAAGTTGTCCAGGTTGGCATTGAACTTGTTTTCCTCCTGCCTCACTTTCCCAAGTGGCTGGAATTACAAGTATCTGACTGACTTACTCTTTATATAACATATCTGTATGTAAAGAAGGTACTACTAAGTTTAAAAAATTAGAAAGCTAGAATAAAAGTAAAATTCAGTAAATCAAAGAATTAAATGTCTTGAAATCCTTTAAGAGAGAAGAAATGTTAAATATAAGTTATTGAAATCTCTAGAATAAAGGGTGTGATAGAAGTGAGATGATGAATTGCTAAAATGAGTTTGATGCCCCCTCACAAATACCTAAATTCTAAACAATTAGTGTTTTAAATGCAAAGAGAATATGCAGTGAACAAAGAAAAAAAATATTCTCATTAGGCATGACAAGAAAAAGCCAGTTATTTTATTCTGCATATGAAAGTTTATGCTTTACAAAATAAATGTCAAAAATGTAAATGATAAATATAAAAACAAATGTAAATATCCACTGAGGAAGACATTCTTTGTGCTGTGGTGGTAGTATGACACAACTTTGATCATCTCATTGTGGAAGCAGTCTGGTAAATGTGTATATGTGTTCTTTCATTCTGTGTTCCATATGTGGTAGTGTATCCCAGGAAACTAAATACCAAAAACGTGTATTATAAGCACAGCATTACAATGTTATTTTAAATGGCAAAGGAATAAAACTAGTCTAAATGTTCCACAGCAAGCCAGGCTCACTGGCATGCCCCTGTAATCCTAGTGGCTCTGGAGGCTGAGGCAGGAGGATTGCAAAGTCCAAGGCCAGCCTCAGTAACTTAGTGAGTCCCAAGCAATTTAGTGAGACCCTGTCTCAAAATTTTTTAAAAAAATAAAATAAAATGGGCTGGGGATGTGGCTCAGTGGAAAATCCCGAAAGGGAAAAAAAAAAGTTGCAATCAGTACCAAAGAAAAAAAAGTTCCAAGCAGCAAATKATTTATTATGATATTTACTTGATAAAATTATAGCTTGACAACTTATATGAAACAAAAATCCTGGGGGTAGGGAGTAGCTCAGAAGTAGAAACTTGGCCTGGCATGCATGAGACCCTGGGTTCCATTTGAAAGGAAGGGAATGAAGAGAGAAAGAGAAAAGAAAAATGCTAGTTTGTGTTAAGTGGAAAATTAGTATGCAGCTTTTTAAAAATCTAGACATAGGAATCAAAATAATAATAGTTGACTAGATGATCTGACTATGGATCATTTTAATTTCTTTCCAGTTTGCAGTACTTTTTGTGGGGTGGAGGGTGGGGGAGTACCTGGGATTGAACTCAAGGGCACTCGACCACTGAGACACATCCCCAGCCCTATTTTGTATTTTGTTTAGAGATAGGGTCTCATTGACTTGCCTAGCGCCTCACTTTTGCGGAGGCTGGCTTTGAACTTGCCGTTCTCCTATCTCAGCCTCCTGAGCTGCTGGAATTATAGGYGTGTGCCACTGCGCCTGGCTGCAGTACTTTTTTAAAAAAAGTTTATCTTTTTTGGGGGGATGGGGGGTAGGCACTCTACCACTGAGCTATATCTCCAGCTCTTCTTTATTTTTATTTTTATTTTAAGACAGGGTCTCACTAAGTTGATGAAGCTAACCTTGAACTTGTCACCCTCCTTCCTCATTCTCCTGAATCACTAGAATTAGAGACATGTCACCATGCCTGGCTATGTCTTTGTTTTAAATATTTTAAGCTGAATATAAATTTATTAAGGTACCATTTGCAATAGTTCTTTGATATTAAATTCCCATTTTTCTCATTTTAGTATCCCCTATTTTACACTAAGGGTTACATTAAAACAAGTAATAGGACAAAAAAATTTCATYATCATCATCATAACTTGAATTTTTAAGGCTCTTTAAATTCATGGTTTATCCTTGTAACTACCTTGAAAATTTAAAAAAATTTAATAAAGTGACATTTCCAAGGCAGTACAGGTTAATCGATTATTCTTTGTTGGCATCTCTGAAGGACCCAATAAATGAGTGTGGCACAATGCCAGAAGTATTTAGGGAAGAMTTCTCTTTATGGAAATAGAGAAGTGGAAAAAAGCCTAATTAACAAATGAACAAGAAACAAAACCACTCAATTTTTGCCTATTATTTATCATGTGAAGACTAGCTTATTCTAATTTTTCTTACATCAGGGTGCAAAATGGTAAATACTTTTTCTCCTTGAAAGTCAACAACTCCAAGAATCAGTGGGGTATGACTCACTTTTTCTATTTTTTCTTATTTTTGTGGTACTGGGATCAAATCTAGGACCTAGTACATGCTAGGCAAGTTCTCTATCCCTGAGCTACACTCCCAACCCAGTGACTCACATTTTTAAAAATAAATTCTCCTTTGAAAAACCTGTTTTAAATAATACAGAATGTTGGAGATACAAATATTTCTGACACATTTGTACTTTTGTTATATTAGGATAGGTTTTAAATACATATTCAGAAAGTTACAGAAGCATAAAGTACAGAATAAGCAAAAGCTGCATGTTRGTTGTAAATTTGTACACCTTATGTTATCATTTTAGGTTGCCAATGCCATGAAAAACTCATTACCATTTGATGCTCCTGATTCTTCACAAGAGGGCCAGAAAGTACTTAAAGTGGAAGTCACCCCAACAGTGCCGAGGATTTCTCGGACTGCAATTACAACAGCTTCAATCCGTCGGCATAGATGGAGAAGAGAAGGTAAGTACAAAATCCCCATAGTATGCTCATGGAGTCAAGTAAATTTTTCACTGTTTGTATAGACTATATTAACTCATGGTAATATAGCACTTTATATAATTAAAGTAAAAGTTTTTTAGTTTTTAAGATAGCTCTTAGAAATGTGATTAAATGCTTACTGTTATATTTAATATAAATATATGTGTACATAAGGTAGAAAGATGTCATACTGCTGTATAAATATTAAAACAAAAATAAGATCAGAAGAATTTTTGTCTGTTTTTGAACTAGTAGTAACAACAGGAAAAAAGTTTAAGCCTGCTAACTTACTGAGGAAAAAAATAAAAGGTGCATGTATGAGCACTGTGGGAGATAACTATGACAAACCAAACTAACAGTGTAATACAAGCTATCCATAAAATAATTGACTGTGGTTTTGGATTTATATCTTTGCATTTCCTTTTTTATATGTGCTGAACCCAGCAGTATTTCATAAGACATATAGTTCTTGAATAGTCAAGCTGTCTTGCCTAAGAGATATTAATTGCCATTTAATCCCTATTTTTCTGTCCTGTTCATTTGCAAACCTCACATTGTTCATCTGCTGCCTTATGTGCGTGCAAGCTATGCACACACATGTAATTATATAAATAGTGTTTGTGTTAATATCATATCCATATAAACATTCTCTTATCTGCCTGGGTCAGAATGCTCAGAAAAGAATAGAGCAGCACAAAAGCACTAAAATTTTATATGTTGAATCCCAGATGGCTTTGACTTCTCAAACGAGGCTGACTCGAGTATTCCTGGCTCCCCGATCCAACACGGCTCCACTGACCTAGGGATCAAACGTGTGCAAGAGGGGGAGGTGCTGGTGCGCAGGACCCCTGAGCATGGCTCGCCGGAGCCCAACTCGGCAGCAGCCACAACAGAGGGTAGGACAGAGATGAGGAGGCAGAAGTCAGTGAGGCAGTTGCTGGAGAAGGATCCTGGCTCTCTATCCCCAAGCAGAACATCTTTCCATTCTAGTGTGTGTTTCCACTACCCCAGGGTGTATTAGCTTCTCCTTGCAAAGCACCTCTCTTCCCTATATGCCTAGCACCAGGTTAGGTACAATCTTTAGTTACTGTTTGTGCTGGCCTGGAGTGTGCATCCCTGTGTAATCAAAGAACAGCTTGGCATGGCTACTAACAAGGCAGGGGCCTGTATCCAAAAGATTTGCAAATGCTTGGAATTTTTTCATTACTGAGCATGTTTATTCTAACAATAGGAAAGAAAAAATGCACCCAATGGACATGAGCCTTAATAGTCAATATAAATGTATTTATATAATAACTTATTCTTTAAAGATCTGTGAAGAGTTTCAAAACATGAGTATACTTGGGAAACTGAAATGGGGCTGATCAATTTATCTGTAATTCTAGGATGTTAAATTAACATCTAATAAGAATTTCTCACCTTTTTGACAGAGTATGCTATATTGATTGAATTTTTATAGTCCTTGTGATAAGTTGCCTAGGTCTAGAGAATTACTGACACTTTCCTCCATATACGTGCTGTCCTGGTGCACACTACATTTTATAATTCATTGTAAATCATGGTTCTATTATGTAGCTCCCAAATGGAATTGAAATGTATTATTTAGAGATCAGATATCCTAGTAGTTTCTTGTTTCTACAATGTAGGTATCTTGAGAATTTTTTACCTACCATCTTCCACCACTCTCTGTAAAAGAACATTTCTGTCCTCCAGGAAAGTATTTACTTGCTGCCTTGCATGGAATGCCATGAGTTAGCTTTGTGAAAGAGGGAACTGTAGGTAAATAGCTTTTTCATTACCCAATGTGTTGCCACTGTGAAACCTTTATACTGATTTGCATTAATAAACCATGTAGTTTTAAAAGAGGTACATATTTTTGCTTAAAGCAAAACATACATAAAGCAATTAACTTCCACCTTAAGGAAGTCTTTCTCTTTTTGGTGCATTAGAAATTTGAGCATGCTCAGTAAGAATTTAAACCTATACTCTGTGCCCTTGCCCATGTGCCTAGGACAGTCAACCTTCATTTTATAGTATTGCATGTGCATGATCTAGGAACCCAGAGAAGTTGGTACCGTTTCAGATTCTTCTTTATATGGCTATGGAAGATGCAGCCTTCCCTTTTTATACTTTCCCTAGCAATCAATTTTAGTGAGAGTATGGAACCCAGAGTTGGCCTAAATTGAACAACRTCTTATTCTTTATATTCTTGATGATTAAATGAACTACTTAAGAAGTATCTTCTACCATTGTTAGGACTATTGAAAGTATGTGTTAAATGTAGCACGGTTAATTAGTATTGATAAAATTATAGGAAATGTTAGATTAGTCTGAAATATTGCTTCCAATTCATCAGAAGTCATACATTTTGAAAAAGGAATCAAAACAGTTAATTTCTCTTTAATATCCTATTGAATCCTATTAAATATTTAAATACCTTATTTTCATATTTCTAATTATTGGTAAAATGTTAGCTTTAGTGAGGGATTGGTGATATAAAACCATAAGGAAAGGGGAATAAATTTGTTTCTTTTTACTGGGGATTGAACCCAGGGGCACTTTACACTGAGCTACATCCCCAGCCTTTTTTATTTATTTTGAGACAGGGTGTCATAATGTTGCTTAGATTCTTGCTAAGTTGCTGAGGCTAGATCCTCCTGCCTCAGCCTCCTGGGTTGATGGGATTACAGCTGTGAGCCACCACATAGAGCAGGGAATAAGTTGAGTATGTTTGAAATTTCTAAACAATTATCTTACCCTTTAGTCTAGCTTAATTATAGTTTTAAATCAATATTAGTAGAATAAGAAAGGCAATTTTTTTTTTTTTTACAGATTGTTCTTTGGATCATGAGTAGTATTATAATTACCTAGAGAGAAAACTAAAAGAAAAATGTTTTGAGAATTGCCTGTTTTCTTTCTTAAGGTTTTTTAAACAGAAGGAAGGAAATTACTAAAACCWATGAGAAGTTTTGGTAATTCTGTAGTATGCCAGAGCTTTTGAATTAATGTAGATAATTGATCTTTTAAAAATGTTTTAAAGTATGGTGGTTTTAAATAGTTTTATAGTTAAAACTGTGATTGTTGAAATTCAGGGAGAATATGAACCTATCACCTACCTATTAAACTGAAGATGATTCCTATAATTAAAGTATAGTCATTGTTCCATTATAATGAACCATTTCCTAGTACATAAAATACCAGTAGGTTCTCTTGCATGGTGGCCTTCATGTTACCATCATCTCTTTTATGGCCATATTGCTTTGGCATAAGATCTGCATGTAGCAAGATTCAAAGCTAGCACTAAATCTCTCAGTCTCCTTCCTAATTAATAGATAAATCCAATGATATATTTCTGTTCAATCCTTGTTTTATATTACCAATACTACTTTTGAATTAGTAACTATTTCTTCTTGGGCATTTTAGAGTTCTTTATACTAATTTTAAGTAAATTACTAAAACGATATGTAAATTAAAGTTTCAATTTTCATRGGACATTATATACAGTTCTCTTGAAGAGGTTGAGAGACATGGTGTCAGCTGCTACTTTTCTTAGTAAATGCATTTTCACATAGCTTTGCATGATTAAACATTAAATTGCTGGATATATATATGTATATATATATAACAAGGTGCCTTTTGCTTTAAGGATAGCTTATTTCATTCTTTAGAAGGAAGGAAATAACAAATCCATGAGAAAATATAGCCAAGAATGTATTTTTATTTTTCCAGGTACTATGTTAAGTAAAAGATTGTGTTTTTAATATTTTATATATCTTTCACTTAGGTAACTTGTATCTCAAAGTAATATTTGTGTAGATTATTTCCTAACATTTTACTCTAACTATAATGTTGGTATCTATTTTGTAGATTTGATTAAACTTATTTGCAGTCTGGGAAAAATATGTTTTTGAAAGAAGAAAAAGTATGGTCATATAGTCTCTTAGAAAGTAAATACAATCAATAGAGAATTGGGCTTTCTGGAATAGCATGATCAATGTATTATATATACTTCTCTTCCCACAAAAACTCAAGATATAGATTTTTATGTTAACTACAGTTTATGTGTGAAATGTAATGGGGGCATTATAATATTTTGTGATTATAAAAGTAAATAAGTGAAATAAAGATGTTGTGTCCAACTACAAATAAAAGATTAAAATGCTTTAAAAAAAAGTAATACATCTCAATGCTAGAATCTAAAATATTAACATGTATAATGTAGGAAATGAAAATCATTCTTAAGTATCCCTGCTAGTTTTTTACCACTGTTCCCTGATAATGTTTTCTTCATATTAATTGTTCAAGAAAGTATGGAAACCAGTGAGTAGTCCTGTCCATAAGACAAAATATGGTTGTGAAATTATTGGAAGCAATGTAGTTTCTTAGATTTGAGTTAGAAAATCTATTAGTTCAATATTAAAAGCCTTTAAGCCATAGAGAAGCTATGATATGATAAATATAAAATCTTATTATAGTTTTGGCCTATAGGCATAAATCAGGTTTTGGTATAATTCTAGGTAACTGAAATTGGAAGAGTCTCTTTTGTACATTTTATGGTGGGTTAAAGAAGATATGAGGAAAAGGTTTCAATTGTTTTACAATAGGTAAATATGTTCATGTCAAATGAAAAACAGTATATTATAAAGAGTTATAAATATAAATGTATTTATATATTTAATGTATTGTGCCTGGTTTTATATGCCCAAATATTAATAGTATATTAAGTAAGTTTGTGAATAGTTTTATAAAAACTGAAGTAATTAAAACTAAATGAACACAATAAATAGTATATTAGAATTCTGTATAGATTAAGATTTATTCTCCTAAATTACTTAGAAGTGTTGATAGTAAGATCATTATGAACTCATAGCAAATGTTAATCAAGAAAAAGGTCAGTGTTGTTATTCACAACTGCTACTTAACTTAATTTAGCTATTACTAAGTCTTTCTGATTTATTTTTTAGGTGCTGAGGGTGTAAATGGAGGAGAGGAGTCTGTAAACCTGAATGATGCAGATGAAGGATTTTCATCAGGGGCTTCCCTCAGCAGCCAGCCAATTGGGACCAAACCATCCTCTTCTCAGAGGGGAAGCTTACGGAAAATAGTAACTGGGCGTTCAGCCAAAGATAAAGAAACAGCTTCTGCCATCAAATCCAGTGAGATCCCTCGAGATTCAGTAGTTCGCAAGCAGTATATTCAACAACCAACTGATCTTAGTGTAGATTCCATTGAACTGACACCAATGAAGAAACACCTGAGCCTGCCTGCTGGCCAGGTGGTGCCAAAAACCAATAGTTTAAGTCTAATCAGGACAGCCAGTGCTTCCTCAAGTAAATCATTTGACTATGTAAATGGCAGTCAAGCAAGTACCAGCATTGGGGTTGGCACTGAGGGAGTTACTAATCTAGCAGCTAATAATGCTAATCGATATTCAACTATCAGTCTACAGGAAGACCGGCTAGGTCAAGCTGGTGAAGGTAAAGAGCTCCTCAGCCCAGGAGCCCCTTTAACCAAGCAGTCTCGATCCCCAAGTTTCAATATGCAGCTAATATCCCAGGTGTAGTTTTGACATCCTCTCTTCGCTTACCTTTTAAATGGAACATTTCATTGTATAAGAAGACACTCATCCCACATTGTGAAAATATTGGTCATTGTAATCAGATTTGATTTAGTTTAGGTATCTTCATACTGTATTTTGTATGAAAACAGCAATAAGGTTTTCTTTTCCCTCCTTCCTATATCTTCTCTTCACCTGTACCTTGTAAATGTGTTTGTGAAGCAGTATAACACGTTTGCCTTTTCCATGCCTTCCTTTTTCCTTGGGTGATGTGCAATCCATCATAGGCTGATTGGTCCCATTTCAACACTGTGAGACTGAGGATACACTAGAGGAAGTGGTGTATATGATCCTTATGATTCTTTGGCTTTTGTTCAAAAACAAGACAAAACGGGTTTGTTCACATAATCTATAGAACTATGAAGATTACCGGATCATATTTTTTTCTCTCTTAACCAGGAGTGCCTCAGAGGTTCTGCTATGACTTGGGACTTCTCTGAGTCTGTGCAATCATTTTCTTGAGAAGCATGGGGAAAGGTGGTGGACTGCTGCACTTTTTCATTAAAATGAGGGTAGCTCTTTTTTCCCCCCATTTTCTTTATCCCAAGGACTTAGTTGTTCAGTTACTGAGGCATTTAAATCAATTTGTAGCCACCTCCTTTGGGAGGGTGCGGCTCTAAGTTGATTGTGTAATTGATAATGCACTTTCTCAATGGCTCTCTAGTCATTATTAACATGTCTTCCCTCTTCCCACAAGGACTTAAGATCATTTCTGTCCTTAAATTTTGAACAGCTAACAAATCAGAGAATTCAAGGAGCATGTTCTATTTCCCAGGAATGATTGACACTTTGGTGCTGGGGTTTTGTTGGGGGAGGGGTGGTTTTTGTTTAGCTTGTTGGAATTGTGTCTGAGGGGGGTTTTGCTTGGTGTTTTCTTTTCTTTGTGAGCTGATGATGACTGAAGTAGAACTGTACGTCTTCAGGTAAAGAGAGGGATTTCTCAATCCACTTTCTGTGATGTTAGACTCTTGGAGAAACCCTTTCAGCTGCTTTCTAGATGTACCTAAATTCAGTCAGACATTTTGGATTAATAAACCTAAAGTCCTGATAGATCATATACTCCAAGGAAATACATCAGGGACAGATAGTTGGCTGAAAACACTGACGCTTCAATGTGACACATTTTTATAGAACATTTCTACCAGGGGGTACTGACTTGATTTCTCCTATAAGGACTACACTGCCTTTGTGTTTAGTATAATGCAGTTTGTGTATCTTCTAATCTGCAAAGTTTCTCATTTTTATAAAACTTTGAAATCATGCCAGTAAGCTAGATGTTGAATGTATGTAAGTAGCATTTGGTAACTGCTATAAGGCTACAGAAGTACATTATTGATTTTAAAACATTTTTTTAAATTCTGATTTGATTGATAAGATTTATTATAACCTCTTCTGGGTCTCGAGCTCTAATGTTTGAAAAAGAAGGGAATATACTTGGTTTTTGAAAATCAGTATTGTGACTTGAACTGCTATAAATTATCCTTCCACAAAATACAGTTGTTAGTGCTTTGTACATTTACTTTATTATTGTGAAAGAAAAATGAGTTTATAGAAAGCAAGTATTCTCCTTATTAATGGTTTTAAGTTTTATCTCTACCAATTGAAATTACAAATAATTCTGTGATAATAACTAAGAAAATGCCTTTTTTTTCCCACACCTAAAATCCCCCTGTTGTTTTCAGTTGTAAGAGCATTAAAAAAAAAAAAAAACAGGGACTTTATGTTAGCATGTTCATAAGGATTTTAATTTGGTGGTCTGTAACATTTTTCAACTCATATGAAAATGAAAAACTAGAATCTGAACTAGTATCCAGAATATTGCCAAAGTCCAGGTAAAAGTTGATGGTTTATTTATATGTGTATGGTATGTAAATATATCACAAAGATATATTTTAAATATTTAAGAGATGCCAGATAAGTGAAAAGAAAATTTTAAACAGCCAAAATAAATGAGGCATACAACTTTATAGCATACTAAAGAAAGCAAAGTTTCAGGTATGTAAGGAAAGGAATATTGTACTCACCAGGGAATGAGATCTTGGCTATGGCCAGAGTTTCCTCATTTTATGGCAAAAATACCTGGTTTATATAGGCTGTTTTTAATTCAACAAGTTGTGCACATATTGGCATCTAAATCAAGCATTTGAATTAAAAGCACAAAAGAAATACCAAATAAATGAAATTACAGTAAAAGCTATAATAAAAATTCTCTTTAAGAATTCCATTAAGATCATATTACTAGAAAGCAAACTAAATGTGTAGCTAAAAGTTAAATTTAACTTAGGAGAGACTTTTAAATATGAAAATATTTTAAGAAATCATTTGTTATATCTGCAAAATTAATTTGAAATTTTTTCGTCTTGCTACGATGTGCAGTAGCCTGTAATCACAGAACTAGGGAGATTAAGGCAGGAGGATGGCAAGTTGAAGGCCAGAATTAGAAGCTTAAATTAACAAGACCCTGTCTCAGAAAATTAAAAGGACTTAGTGGTAGAGTGCCGCTGGGTTCAATCCCCATTATCGCAAGAAAAAAAATTTCATCTTAGTGGATTTTATTTATCTGTACGTGTATACGTGTGTGTGTGTGTGTGTGTGTGTGTGTGTGTGTGTGTGTGTGTGTTGCTGGGGATTGAACCCAGGGCCTTGTGCATGTAAGGCAAGCACTCTATCAACTGAGCTATATCCCCAGCCCCAACATATAGATTTTGAATGTACACATACCCATTAATGTTTCAGGACCCTGTAACAATTGTTTTCTTGTAGGTGATATTTGGCCCCAATGAAGAAACATTTCATTTAGTTTAGACTTTCCATTCAGGGTCTTAATAGATTTCCTGTGTAAGATGTAGTTACAATGAAAAAAATTTAACTATCAAATTTTCAGGCTTTTAAATTCCTTTTGCATTATTTATTAGTATTTAATATACTTTTATTTCAGGTATACAAATACATGCCAGCAATATTCATACTTTGTCCTTTAACAGTCTTTTATTTTATATTTTTTATACCTCCTTAAAAAAGTTTACCCATCTATGAAAAAGACACTTAGAGAGAAAATACTTGTTTTCTATAATAAAACTATTTGGTGCCATCTGTGCTGAGTTGAATTAAGAAATACCAGAAGAGTTTGGGAATTCTTTCATATGACATTAATTTTAAGATCATATTACTAGAAAGCAAACTAAATGTATATGAAAAGTTAAATTTAACTTAGAAGAGACTTTTAAATATGAAAATATTTTAAGAAGCTAAGGAGGAAATAGTTGTAATTTAATATCCTGATCCCCTACCACCACCCTTACTTACCAAATCCACTCTTCTGTGCCTATTTATTATAGAATCAGAATTTTTGTGCTAGAAGAGACCCTAGAGATAATTAGTCTCCCCATACACATTCATCCTCAGGAAACGAGACTCAAAGAGGTTGTGACACTACAAGGTCGTATAACTAAGAAGCAGAGCCAGAATCAACCCTCATCTCCCATCAAATGCATATTAACACCCCACTGCCACTCTTTATCCATACTATGGTAAATATGGTACGTAAATAYTTTCCATCTCTGCAGCTTCTTTACATTTCTGGTCTAGTAGTTGGTAAATACAACACATTAAGAAAAGTATTAAATCCAGAAAAAAATGTAGAGTGATAAATGTAGATTCGGAAGTATTAAAAAATAGGTATGTTTTACAAATATAAGGATAGGTACATTATTCTTTAATTTACGCCTTACTCATTTTCTGCCACATAATGATGATATGCTGCCATGTTGTTTATATTTGTGGGGATTTATTTAAATGCAAAGTAAGCTCAGTGAAATGGTTTTGTTCAGTGTTGTAGCTATTTTAAAATAATTTTGAATCAGCCAGCTTTCAGCAAATAAGGTGGCCAGTTCATTGTATTTCATAATGGAGTATTGTAAAAGCTTAAATAAATCTGATTTCATTGATTTCTAAGGTAAAGAGAGATTGGACCTTAATGTGCTTATAGAAGATGAAAGCAATATTTCCTTATATGACTGAAAAAAATGTTATGGTGTGAAGCTTATGATTACAGGATGGAATAGTAAACATCTCATTTTAAGTGTATATATCACATAAAATGTCTTAAATGCAGTAGTCAGATACATAAGCTCAATATTTCCAACCTGTAGTCTCGAATTCCACTTAGTAGCTTTAAATTAATTATTTTCTAGACACTGGAATACTGAGAATAATTTCAGATTGTTTTGTTTGCACTATTTTTGTGAATATTTTAATGAAGTGGGGTGTTTTTTCCTACCTCGCTTTGTGAGGTTTGTATGGGTCCACTTTTGTGTACTTTGGTTATTGACAATCATTTGTGTCATTTAGTTTTCTGCATGTTCATTTGTAAATAAAAATATTAGTATCTGTCTTTATGGGTAGCATATTGTAAAAACACTGGCAAGGAAGATCTATCCATTTCTGATCATGGATTATATTACAAAGTAAGTTTGGTTTTCTGGAAAAAACATCAGTATTTCAGTTACTTGTCTGTTTTTCAGTTTAAAAAGTTCAATAGGTCATGCCAGTGATCAGAAAATCTATAAGAATTTTAGGGTACTTTTCTTAAACAGTCTGAACATGAGACTTTTTAGCTTTCAGGTTGAATGATTACTGTCATTGTTTCACCACCAAGTTGGTTGAGACACTTATTTGTACTACTTTAATTTTTTAAAAGTGCTTTTTAGAAATAAGTTGTTTGAAAACCAACTAAATACTGTTAGTTTAGACTCTGTAAAATTAGAATATTTGTCAGATTATAAGGAGATAGAATGCAGTATAAAACTCATAGTGCTAATAAAATCATAATGAATCTCCAGATTGGTACAATTTTCCATGTTAAGGTGGTCAGAACTGACAACATAATACAAATTTTAGTATTACTTGCATTGTGTGTATCTAATGGGTATATCAAACTGGCACTGAACATTTATAGGAAAATACTGTTCATTACAGGAGATATTTTCTAACCTTCCTGCCCATATAAGCACATTTTTTCCTAACCCTGACCATACAACAAAATTTTGGTCATTTTTTCAGTATTTTTGTAATCTTAGGCATCAGTCCCATGAGAAACATACACAAGGGCAAACAATTCAGAATAGAAATTAGCAGAAAGCTAGGAATGATATGAAATAACTGGCAGCATAGTACAGAAATATATAGGTTGTTTTGCTTCTAGATTTTGAGAAAATGTGTTCATGATGTTTACAAATTAAGGCATACTTATATGTCTGCTATTATGCTATTATATTTAATATAGATTTTACCAAAAAGTAGAATTAGGTACAGGTTAAGTATAAATGAATCCTTCTTAAAAACTGTATTTGCAGGTAGGTTTAATAAAGAGATCCTTTTATTTTCAAAGAGAAATTAATTTAATTGGACAATCCATCCATCCCCAGCTACTGAACTGATATCAATCTGGTTTGTTGTATTTGAGTGTGAAGAGCTCAGTGTTAATTATCAGAGAAATTTTTTTACATCTTCATTATGGATTTACCAAAGAAAATGTTATTGACCAAATGTAATTTTTAAAGCACCTCTTAAGGAATAAAGCCCATCTGACCTATACATAGGATTGCATACCCTGGGGAAAATATTAAAAGATTATTTGACCTGGAAAACAAGTATACAATAGTTATAAGATTCCAATTGAGGTTTTCTTATACCAGTAAGATTTCAATATTCTGGCAAAGTACTATTTTAAGGCAATCTCCAAATATTATTCCTTATGGCACATTTTCACATTTCCTTAAATAAAATGAAGGATTCGGCTTATCAGTATTGAACAAAAGGGGACATTATTAAAATTGGTACATTGTGTGATATTTTAGTTTTTAAAATGTGGAGGAAATTGTGGAAATGCACCTCTTTCTTTGTTCAGTGGTAGTTATTTCTAATAAGTAGGATATTGGTTAAACTGGTATGGTTTGTTTACAAAATTTATGTACATGATCAATTTTTTCTTTGTATAAAAACACTGGTTTAAGAAAAGCTAAAATACTAATTTTTTAAATGTATAGATTAAAAAAACTAAAGGTTTAAGTTGTTAAATGATTTTTGAAACCATGAAATATAATTGTAAATTAACTGATGTTCCAAACAGGTTCTGTATGTATTATCTTTTCATATATCAAAGTAAGGAATGTATTGGTCAGCTATCTTGGAAAGAAAAAATTGGCTTTCTTATAATGATTGGTGTTTTTTTTTTAAGTTTTATCTGAAATCACTCAATAATCTCATAATCTGAATTGACAGATTATGTTTCATGTGGTGTTTGAAAATATTTGTAATAAGTTCATCTACTACTTTACATTGAATCTTTTTTATTATTACACTAATAATTACACTGGCTTTATATTCATTTTAACTGGCTAAATGAAACAGTTTTTATGGTGCAGATTATTTTCCCACTGTTTTTCTCAAGATAATTTGGCTTTTCTGACCTGCAGTTTCTGAAAGATTTTTACTAGTATGGTTTTATATAATCTGATCYCTGTAGCAATGGACAAGTAAAAAGAAATATCCACAAAATGTTTGTTTCATAAAAGGATATGGGATGTTATAGATCAGCTCCTGTTTTGTTGTTTTACCCAGCCTCAACCAATAGCTTGGAATAAATTTCCCAAGTATTCAGAGAATGAGTGCTGGTGAAAGTTTAAATAGGATAGGCATGTAAAAATTAATTTCTGTTAAGTGATGCCCTTTCAATCCAGGACTAGTAAAAAAAAATCATTTTTTCAGAACTAAAGGAAAAAAACTGCACATTTAAGATCATATTTACTGGTGCATGTAAGCCATTATCCTGTCTTACTGAACTGATTAATGCTGTTGATTGTTGAAATGTGAAATGTAGTCACTGTTGACCTTGTAAATATCTGCCAGAGATGAAAAATATTTTAAGTTATTGTAAATAAAGATGTATAAAGYTCACTATCAGTCTGCAATGCAGAAACATAATCTAAGATGTTAAATATTGTGTTTCTTGAGAGATGTGTAATTTGCCCCGAGGTGTATCTACTTACATTAAGAATGTAAATTTTCTTTTGTACAGGATAAAAATATAGCTTTATTTGGCTTTTAATTGGATTTCCTGGGGTTGATTTTCTTACCTAAATAGTCCTCTCATTTACAAAAGTTCTTCTATTATATTTTCTCAAAGCATGAAATTTTATTCATGTAAATCTGAAMCTTTATATTATACCCTACTAAGTAAAGTAAGGCAATATATAAAACTTATTAAAATATGACACAATAAGAAACAACTTACAAAGGCAGGAATTAAAAGTAGTACATAAAATACATGCGGTATGTTTCTGTATGTTATTTATAGGGATACAAGTTTAGCATTGTACTAATTTAAAGCAGCCAAATGTAAAGAAAGAAGTAAAATTAATTACATGATTCTTCCTTAAGATTAAACAAATCAGCTTTTCAGTGGAAGCACAACTATATCTAGTACTGAAAATATTTATTAGAAAATTTTCTTACATGGGTCCTTATAAGAAGAGCCAACATTATTAACAGTACCCTTTTACATAGACTCTGGTGTGGAAGTTATTTAGTCGTCTTCTGCAACATGAATTTAATCAAGGGTTGAGGCCCATGCACACTTTTCCTTTCCCTTTCTTTATATGGACTTTCTAGAAAAATCTCTCAGCCTTTTTTTCCTGATGACTCTTATTCCTTGCTATGGACCAAAGCTTCACAAAAACACATTGGTATTATTATTATTATTATCAATACAAAAGGTAGCACTTCCAAAAGAAAAAACTTGAGGCCTGAAAGTGAATTTGACTGGATCTGCATTTGTTAGAATGAGATTCACCAGTTGGCAGTTTCAATGTGTCCTTTTTATTAGAAATGTTGTTATACTTGCTCATTCAAAATTCTAGAATATTCACAAAAAATATGATGGTAAACATCATTTTCCTTTAAGGTACTGTGGTACAATCATGACAGTAAGACAGTGGAGGCACTATTCCTCCACACACATCCAGCTCTCATCCAGGTAGATCAACATATTTTACAGTCCAAAGATTTTTCATATTAAACACCAAATTACTGAGTGCCAGGAACCATTTTAAACAATTTAAGGAAAATACAGTATTAATACAATAGTGTCAGATAAGTACTATTCCTCATTTCCTCAAAGTAAATCAGAATTTTAAGAAATCTACTGACAACTGTTTTTAAATAGTGGCTTTTATACACACTAGAGCTCTATTGAGAATTGATTTTCTAAAGCTAGTTACCTCTTAATTACCTATTTTTAAGGCTCACTATGCCTAATCTTTCACTATTTACTTGATGAAGTCATCTTTCATGTGCTGTATGGAGGCTCAATGTTTCACTATTTCTGGTATAGGACATACTTAGAGAGAAAGTAGGTTCTGGAGGCCACATTCTTCTATTCCTAGATACAAGTAATGACCTACTGAGCCCTTATCAAGTGTGTACTAAATGGTAGGTCATTTCATATATGACTAATTGCTAGTATTTGGGGAGCCAAATTAAAGCTCCTAGTTTTCCACATAACTCCCTCCCCAACACAACTGTTTTAGGATGATTTTTTATTCCTAACTCTCAGTTGTACTGGTGGTACAGTCTAGATCCTCTCAGGTTCACCTTGTGAACTCTAATTCCTCCACTAAGTATGACAAGATCTAGAAACTAAGCCAATCCTCCAGTTTGCCAGGAACAGGCTGCTTATTGTCTGGGGACTTAGGGGTACTTTTACCACTGAACTACATCCCTAGCCTTTATTTATTTTGAGACATGGTCTTACTAAGTTGCACAGGCTGTCCTCAAACTTTTGATCTTCATGCCTGAGCCTACTSAAGTTGCTGGGATTACAGGTGTGTGGCCACCACGACAGGCACCAAATACTATATTTCTAATGCACAGAAGATTATCTCATTCTTTTCCGTAGTGCTAGGGATTGAGCCCAGAGCCTTGAACATTCACTGAGTTACACGTCCAGCTCTTTCTTTCTTTCTTTCTTTTTTTTTTTTTGGTTGTTCCCTCCAGCTAACAAAAATGGAATATTGAGATGGCAAGGCTACCATCACTTTTCTCAACTGAATTCCCTACATAGCTGCCAAATAGTGTGACTCCATCTCTTCCTTAGCCTTCTTAAATTCCCTATATATAATGACGTTTCAATACAAATCTGACCAGTGCCACAGGGACCGACTAGCCCTCCATAATAACAGACCCAACTCTTAACCACTTTACACACTTGCTATGTTGATTTGGACCTTCTACATGGAAAATGTTACCTTTCCTTTATTTAGCCATCAGGTTGTAGCTTAAGCATCTCTTTCTTCAAAGAATTTGTTCCTGACTCCTGCTACGTGTTCCAATAAACACTGCACTTCCCATATTGTAGCATGTTTCTCAGTACTATCCGTTCATCATCTCCTCGTGTAGTAGCTAGTGTGAAGGGAGAAATCGCGTTCGTCTACCTCAATATTGTATCCTCGTCTTCTGGGTACGCAGGGAACTCTAATGTTGTTTTGAATAATGAATGAGTTCGAACGACACAGTTCTGTTAGTAATATTGTATGTATCCTAGCCAGGTTCGTTCCCTTTCTCCCTCATTTTCTTTTTGTCAGTTCATTCTATTTTCCGCGCCTTACAGTCCTATTAACTGTCTGAGCCCATCTCCCTTTCCAGTACTCAGGCCCTACTTTTTACCTTTGAAAAAAGGACGTCTCCCCTCCTCCCTACCGCAAGCCCTTGATATGAACGAGATCCTACCTTTTAGGCCAAATGAGAAAAAGTTAAAAAAAAAAAAAGAGAGAATCCATTTCTTTATCCTTTTCCTTAAAAAAAAGATAGCTAGATAAATCACTAAGACTGCCACAAGACATACAGRAACCGTGCAGCCGGTTGCCTCCACAAACTTCCTCAGACCCAACAGACACTTCCTTCTTTCCCCGGAAACGGAAAGATGAAAGGAAAGCCCCGGAACATTGTGCTTAGGGATTCGTTTTCCTCAGATTTCCTGATGGGCAAGGCCTACTGGTAGGCGCCGACTGGTTAACATACCCGTCGTTCTTGGAGAACTCCGCTTCCTATTGGTCTGGCAGGGCACCGCCCCCTAAGCAGGGCGGGAGATTCAGTGTGCAGCGCGCAGGTCTCCCATCCCCCAGACGGCCTCCGGGGGGTCTTTGCATTTACCTGCTCCCGCGCGGTTTAAGAGAAGTTGGCTTCTCGGGCAGTGGGTAGTCTCCTTTTCTGCGGCAACGATTCAACAGAATTTTGTGCATCAGYCGTGAAGCGGCGGCAGCCGCTCCTATTTGAGACCAAGCGGGGCTTTGGGCTTCGGAGTAGCCTGCCTCTCTTTTCTGCTTAGCTTGGAGCTTGTGAGGTAAGTTCAGGTGYTTCCAGTCCCGCGGCCAAGCTGAGGCGTCCGCGTCGTGGGTGGCAGTAGCTGGTCTCCGGGGATTCCCCTCAGCACTCGGAGATGGATCGTTGCACCTCCCTCTTTACCGTCCTAGGGCACTAGAACCAGGGACTGATGGAGCGCAGCCAACTGGTCAGTGGCGGGAGGTTCAGGCCCACTGGGGTGAGAGGTTCGCACTGGGAAGACTGTTAGTCTTCTCCGGTTTCACGGAGCCCCCTGGTTGGAAAGAAAACTGTAAAGATCTGTAACGAAAGTAATAAAGTGCCCCGTGAGATAAGCCAGTTCGAGAAGGAATGTATCGTGTTCCCAAACTACCACTATAGGGAGAACTTTCGATGTTATCCCTGCTTGGATAACCAAATACTAATTGAACAGTCACCTTGTGACAGTGCTGGGTTGTAAAATGTTGATAAACCAGGATATTTTGGTAGAGCTTTGTAAATTAAAATTATGTTGAAACATTTTTCGTTTTACTGTTGAAATAATAATAGAACCATTATATACCTTCCCCTAGTTAAATTGCAATATGGAAAAAATATTACCTTTATTATATTGTGCAGTGGTTCTGAACACCGAATGCGTATCATTCGTCACTTATTGATCACTTTTTCTGTGGAATGAAATATAGAGACGTGCAAAAGACCTGCATGCTTAAGTTGAAGCTTAAAATAAAAATACTGATAATAGGGAAAGGTTAATGAACACTTTACTAGGCATGTGATCTCATGATAGAGCCATAGTGTGGAGGTGAGATTAGAACCCGAATTTATTGGATATTAATTTATTAATTGTTGCTTAATTGCTAATCTAAACCACATTTTCTGTAAAAGGATTACATTTTTAAAAAATTGTAACAAGTCCTTTATTTGCTCCCATAGGAGAGTATATTGCTGTTACCACTTGTGCTACTGTATAATTGACCTATAAACATACCAAGCAGTGCCTTGAAGGGTCCTAGATGGCCTCCAAGCATATTTACATTTTATTGTGTGATTATTAGGTAGTGGTTTTTTCAGGAACTGTTAGAAAGAGCTCTAGAAATTTCAGTTGTGGTGACTTTGTACTACATAAAATGGCTTAAATCTAGATTAGGCAATTATAAATGCATTTGGCTGTGAACAATACTGAGGCTTTCTCTGTTGAGTAATTTTTTTTTTTTTACATACCATAGGAAAATTGCCTAGGGCATTACTAAATTGCTTAGCATATTTGTTTATATATATATATATATTTTTTTTTTAATTCACCTTCCCCCCCCTTTCTCTCTTTGGAGATGGCCCACCTTCTTCCTTAAATGTGTATTCCTTCCTTTACCTCCAAAGCTTTGTACTTTTGAGATAGTCCATGTTCTCCCTTGAATGTACCTTTGCTAAATAAACCTTTGTCTTAAAAAAAGAAAGAAAGAAAGAAAGAAAGAAAGAAAACCCACTCCCACTAAAGAACTACTAAGTTTTTGCTAATAAAGAATTATGTAACAGACCTTACTGTTTATTTTTTCTTGGATTGCCATGAGAGGCAGAGCTAAAACTTCTTTGCATGATTTTATTTTTGCTTTTGTTTTTGTATTTTCCCTAATCAGACTCATTTGCTTTATTGTATTTGCTCATTGTCACTGATTAAAATCCTTTGTAGAACACTGTAGTTTGAATTAAAAATGTAGATTATGCTTTGAAGGACTGAGTGGTAGAACTACTGTTGTTTAACCTGATGATCTGGAAACTTAGAAAAGCAATAGAAGTTTTTGCTTATTAGAAGCACTAAAGTGGTAAAATGATTAGATGTATTATGGATGGTTTCTGGGGGTCAAACAAGGAATAAGGGTAACAGATTTTCATTCAATGGCAGTAGAAGTATGTGGTATAATAGGATAATCAAGAATTTAGGAATTGGTTAGAGGTGAGTTTCATCCCTGAAATATTTTTGTACTGTGTGAATTTGGTTGAAAATTTAATACTTACCTCAGTTTACTTATCTATGAATGGTGAAATTATACACATACAATCTATACCTGAAAGAATGCAGATTTAATGAACTGGTGTATGTAAAAGTGCCTAATACAATACCTGACATACAACTCCTCAAAAAAACAAAAAAACCTGTTTATCTTACACAAATATCATGTAAATGCATTAAGCTTTTTTCTCTAATTCCCCCATATTCCCCAGAATAGGAAGCAGTATCATTACTAGAAAAAATTGTCCAGGAGGATATATCTTACTAGCAGTGGTTATTATATGAATTATGGATGAAATATTTATGATCTTTACTATTACTCCATAGAGTTATGAAGATAAAATGAGAATGCATGTAAAGCATGCAGAACTATGTCTAGAAAGAATAAATGGTTAAATTTTTTTTCCTCACCTTTCCAACCCAAATGCACTCAAGTCTCTAGAGCTCTTTAGCTAAAATAGTAATAGTCATTTTGACATTTATCTGCCATCAAAAGAACTTTGAAGAACATTATCTATTTACTTGTTTTTCTTATAACTCAAGGATTTCTGTGTTTTGCCCCATTGCTTTTGTTTTCTTGTTACCTGACCCTGAGTGAGTTCTTTTTCTAATTACAGGTGACTCTGTCTGCATTTTTCAGCTGCAGAACATGTAGTAGCTTAAAAGGTAAATGACACTGACATAAGACATTTAAGTGACTTGCCAAAAGTAAGACTTGCCAAAAGTAAGCTTAGGAACATTTAGGTGTCTGCATGCAACTAACTAGGTCATGAAAGAGAGTCGGTAGTTACTTTTTCAGAAGAAAAGGAAAAATAGGATTTTTAAGAAAGTGGAAAGGAAAAATATTCAAGTTTTGAAACTAAATTTTGTCAGAATAGCCAGAGCTGATAAAGCTTTTGCTTGCCACACTGAAGTTTGTTCAGTGAATACTGACTATAAGTTGCTAAAGAGGTTCATATTTACTGCTTAGTTTGCAAGATGCCTAGAGAACCATAGTTGGGATCATAACCTGCTTGRATAGCATGTAGTAAAAGTAAAGAGAAGGATGGGCTGAGGCTCAGTGGTAGAGCACTTACCTAGCATGTATGAGGCCCTGGGTGTGATCCCCAATACCGGGGGCAGGGTTGGGGGGATGGTAAAGGGAGGTACTTGAAGGTTCTTTGACTAAGGATCCGTGTACCAATGAAGTATCAGATTTCCCCCAGTGGACTCCACCTTTCTAGTGAACAGATAGTAAAATCCACTCTTTTTTCTAAAATCTTGTGTGTTAATTGCCTCGTTTCTGTTAATATGACTGTTATATAGATAGGTTAGGTCTTTTCTTTACAAGCAGAATATTTTCCTTATATATTAGTTATATAATTATATATTAGTTACCCTTGTTAGTTATATATATATTGGTTATATATTAGTTACCCTTGTTAGATTTTTTTTTTTTTTAAAGAGAGAGTGAGAGAGGAGAGACAGAGAGAGAGAAATTTTAATATTTATTTTTTAGTTCTCGGCGGACACAACATCTTTGTTGGTATGTGGTGCTGAGGATCGAACCCGGGCCGCACGCATGCCAGGCGAGCGTGCTACCGCTGAGCCACATCTCCAGCCCCCCTTGTTAGATTTTTGATTCTTCTCAAATTGCAGACATCTTTCCTCCTCTTCCCCTATTTTTCAGATAAAGAATTCAGTTACCTACAATCACAAACATAATGATAGAAAATAATGCATAAAATATCTTGTCTTTTTTTCTACTTTTGAGAAGAGGTCTTGCTGTGTTGTCTAGGCTGGTCTGGAACTCATTGTATCAAGTGATCCTCCTGCCTTGACCTCTTAAAGAGGTGGGATTATAGGGGTGGCAGGGCTGACTCCTTACCTTAGAAGAGTTTAAAAATGTTATACATGTGTTCATTACATGAATTTTTTTTTTAATTGACATTGAACCCAGGGGTGCTTTACCACTGAACTATGTTCCCCTTTTTAAAAAATGTATTTTGAAATAGGGTCTCGCGAAGTTGCTTAGGGCCTTCCTTAGTTGCCGAGACTGGCCTTGAACTTGTATTATTCCTGCCTCATCCTTCTGACACTGGGATTATAGGTAATATAATGCCTGGCTATGAATGTATAATTTATATGGCAGATGACATGAATTTTTGGTCATATTGATTTATTGCTTTTGTTTAGGTTGGCCATGATGAATAAACTGGAATTAAAGGAAGACAAGATGCTGGAGGTTCAATTTGTGGGAGATGATGATGTTCTTAATCACATTCTTGATAGGGAAGGAGGTACAGAATTATTATACAGTTGAAGAGATGCTTATGGATTATTTTATTTTAAAACTACTTTAACATTTTATAGCATGAAGTATTTAATCTAGTAAGACTAATTAAAAATTGTTTTGATTTTTAGTTTATTTCTTTCAGACTTCTAATTGAAATTTTAAATAAATAAATAAATAAGGCCATGTCTAAAATGAGATGCTCAGTGATAGTAAATAATAACTACCCTTTGTAATTTAAAAGATGAGGTTATTTTGACCCCTCAAACACTTTCAAGGCTTTTTTTTGTTTTGTTTTGTTTTGTTTTCAATTCAGTTTTATAAATTCTGGAAGAATGACATTTTTTCCCCCAGCTTTTAAGTAATGATTATTTGAGTAGTACAGTTTATTTACTTATTTAAATGTAATATTTAGAAAGAATTTATACCTGTCATGTTCAAATTCTTTGTACATTTATATAGGTACTAAATTAAAGAAGGAGAGAGCTCAGCTTTTAGTCAATCCCAAAAAAATAATAAAGAAGCCAGAATATGAGTTGGAGGAAAATGATGAAGAAGTCTTAAAGGATCAGAACTATGTGGAAGTTTTGGGAAGAAATGTTCAAGGTATTTGCTTAAGGGGAGAGGCATTTGTTTGGGGAGATACACACTCATATTTTTGCTCGCAGCAGAAATTGCTTTGCAGGATACACAGAAGTAATCTAACAAGTTAAACAGTGGTTTACAATTATATCTCTTGAAAAGTATATCCTTAAGAGTTTTTTCTCTGCAGTTCCATTTTTTTTAATAACCAGCCTTATATTTATTTTTAGAAAAAAGCAATTCATAGACCAACCATTCTAAAGTTATTCTTAAGATATTTATTTTGTGACCCCAGCCCATGCATTTTTAACTTATTAAAAGTATTTTATAAAGCAAGTCACTTTGTTGTTACCTTGATTTCCTTTACAGAAATAATCAGAAAGAACATTCTAAGAACTAGTGTTATTCCAACTTAGACATGTTTATATTGTGGTTCTTTTAACACCTAAATTAAATTCCTGTCAGATCATACTTAAATTAGACTTATATTATAATTTAGTTAGGGTTCTTCTGGGCACAGGGAACACAGATCCACACAAGCTGACTTAAAAAATAAACATAAGGGGGCTGGGGCTGTAGCTCAGTGGCAGAGCACTTGCTTATCATGTGTGTGGCACTGGGTTTGATCCGTAGCACCACATATAAACAAACAAAGGCATGCTGTTCATCTACAACTACAAAAAAATTAAATAAAAAAAAATAAACATAAGGAAAGAAATCAATATCATTGGTCATGATGCATTAGCTCGACGATATTAAAAATGGAGGAACTTTGCTCTCATAGGTCTCCTATTTTCCCTTGGGTCATCTCTATGCTTCTATCTATGCCAACTACTTCCTTCATGCGTGTATTTTTCACTATTTCACATAAATTGCCATTATGACTACCTTTTACCTTTCTCTCACTTAAGTCTGTTGTGCTCCTGTTTAGTTTCCAGTGTTAAATGACTGTTTGTGTGTTTTAGTTCCCCCATTCTATATTCTTAAGAGTGGATTTAGTTCAACTCAAAGAGCCACTGCCCTTCATTAGGCTTAGTGGGTAGGGTAGAATCTCCTATTTGTTCCTAATTTGAAAATCAGTATTTTGTGGGGGGCATATTCTGATGAGAACTTTGGATTCTCAATTACTTATTATGCTAAAATAAGAAAAGATTGAAAACAGTATTCCAAAAGAGAAACTTGTTTTTTGTTTGTTTGTTTGTTTTTGGTGTTGGGGATTGAGTCCAGGACCTCACACATACTAAGCACATGCTTGATTCCTGAACTGCTGCACCCCCATCCCTTTGAATTCTTTTTTTTTTTTTTTTTTTTTTTTTTAGTTGTAGTTGGACACAATACCTTTATTTATTTTTATGTGGTGCTAAGTATTGAATCCAGGGCCTCACACATGCTAGGTGAGCACTCTATTGCTCAGCCACAACCCCAGCCCCAACCCTCTGAATTCTTAAAAATCATTTCTTATTATAATGGTAGTTGAAGAAACAACTCTTTCAACTTTCTCCACATAATAACGGCATCAGGCAGGGTGCAGTAGTGCACACACAGCTATAATACCAGCAGCTTGGGAGGCTGAGGCAGGAGGATTGCAGGTTCGAAGCCAGCGTCAGCAATTTAGTACAACCCTATCTCTAAATAAAAAATTTAAAGTGCTGGGGTGGTGGCTCAGTGGTTAAGCATCCTTAGGTTCAATACCTGGTACCAAAAATAAAAATAAATAACAGCATCAAAAAGTGGTATTTAGAGGCATACTAGAGTAAATGGATGAGGATGTTCCAGACCAGAAGTTGCCTCTGAGCCCTAATCTACCCTTCACTGCCAGCCCTGACTGGCATTCTCAAAAGGCTGAGAGGATTAATACCCTGCATATACGTAAACAATATCTTTTATTGCTGTATACTTGTTGGGAAGGCTTGCCTTAATTTTTGTCATCCCTCATATTTTATTTTTCTCCTAATCATTTCGATCCATGGAACTTAAAAACGACTTATACGCTATTTATCTGTTTATATACTGTGACTCTTTGGAGGGCCACAGACCACTTTAATAACAAAGATTTTTTTCCCTCTACTCCTCCCTCAGTAAAAACTAATTTTAACCCTATTGGGAGAGGAAGTGTCATTGTCCCTGTTGAGAATGGGTTCTTTAGAGAACATGGAACTGTTAACATTTTGATGTGTATTTTCTGTCTATACAGCCTTGGGCACACATAAACTTGGATTTTTTTTTTAATAAAATAGTTTGTAACCTAACATGCTTTTTACAATTAGTAGTGTATCATAGATACATGATTCTGTCATTAGACATTCTTTTTTACACTTTTTTATTGACTGCAGAATCTGATCTACTATATGGATATGAAATAATTTAATGGTCACCTTTTGTTGGTTATGTGGTTATTTTGAATTTTTTACTACATTGCTATACTGAATCTTTAGGTACATTCATTATTATTATTTCCTTAGTGAACTTGCTAGCAAGGATTTTGCTCCACATACCCATTGGGCATGAACATTTTTTGTTCTGACATATATTGCCATGTATTCATTCTCCTGAAGTTTATATAAGTTACACTCATTAATCATAGTATGTTTTCCTAAAGATATGGTTTTAGCCCGTTTGGGTTTTTTATGGGGAGGAATGAAGATGCTTATTTTTCAAAAAAATTTTTTTTCTTAAATAATGAATCCTATGTGGCATGGAGGAGACAAAACAATGAAGTACCTTCAATTCTGCTTTCTACCGTTCAATTAACTGTCACAGGAGTTTGTATTGGAGATGCACTGAAAGCTATGAGAATCTTAGTGTGGGTTCTCTTAGCTTTCTTTAACCTGAAGAGTACTGGCCAGTTGTACAGACAAATACTCTTATCATAGGTTCTGTGTTGTTTTTTGGTTTATATAAAATAACACTTCAGATCAGTTACCTGTCACTTATCATAATCTCAAACTCTGTTGCTAGAGTCCTTTATTGTCTTTTAATACTTTCACTGAATTGTAGTTTATTATATTTTATTACTTCATTTGAGAGAACCTACAATAATAGAGTTCTATGAAAAGAGTTATTGTTTGATATATTCCTGTTTAAAGGCCTCCTCAGATTAGGTATTTTTCTGTTTCCTGGATAAGATTGTACTTTTTGGTTCTCTTGATTGTAGTAAAACAAATTTCAGCAGATCTAGAACCAGATCTCTAAAGAGTTTTTCCTTTATTCCCTGTGAAATACAGTAGCAAGTACATTCTGGTATTAACTGTAGTGCTATAAACTCTCCAATGTAACAGTCTTGAGTCCAGCAAATGAAGCTTTTGTTTGGCTGTGGGCATGCACAACAGAATAGTTCAGTCTTACCAATATAACTGATATTTTTGTTTGTTTCTAGTTGCTTTCAATCATAGGGGTAGAGAATGCTGTTCTAAACTGTAGCGAGTTTTCTATGTTTTCTACAGGGAAGAGGTAATTACACCTATCATCTTTTACCTCATTTGAGATACTAAATAATATTCTACATAATATTTTATTATATTCAGAAGAAAAGCATTTTTAGAAGACAGGAATACTTGACACAGAAACTTTAGAGTTAAAAACAAAAAACCTTTTCAGCAGGGACCTTCACTATGGTTTAAATGTGGTTTGTCCCCCCAAGAGTTCATGTATTAGAAGTATCATCCCCAATGTGGCAATGCTAAGAAGTTGTAGGCTCTTCAAGAGGTAGGGCCTAGTGCAAATTACTTTCATCAAGGGGGTGCTGCCCCAGAAGGGATGTAGTTCTTGTGAGAACCTGAATTAGTTCTTGTAAGAGCCATTTATAAACAAGTGAGCCTGTTTCTTGAGTTGCTCTCAGGCTTCCTATCTTGCCATGTAATTTCTACTTCTCACCTGGGCTTCCACTATGATACCATCTACCATATGACAGAGCCAAGAGAATGTTCATCAGAGCTGAGTCCTTGCTGGGGCCATGTCCTTCAACCTCCAGAACTGTGACATTTTTTATTTAGAAAGTCCCCAGCCTTAGGGTATTTTGTAATAATAATAGAAAACTGATTAAGACAACCTTTAAATAACATTATTAATTATTTCCCCTGGAGTATGACCCTCTTATAATTAATACACATCTTGACATACTTGACTTAATTCTCAGAGTTTACTAATTTATCCAGTCTGGAGAAAAATTATATTTGTGAATAGCATTTTTTTGTGTTAAAATTTATATAAGTAGGATTGGTCTGCTTTATGTATTTTTTAATATTTTATTTGTAAATACATATTGTTACATCGTTTTACAATGCAGTAAGGGGTATGAATTTTTAAGATTTTAGTTAAAGTGTTCTCTTTTTTTCTTATAAATTAATTTTGTCCCTTTTTCCTAAATTCATGTTGCACTTTCTCTTTCAGAATCCTTGAAAAATGGCTCTGCTACAGATGTTGGAAATAAAGTTTATTCTTTTCAGAGTAGAAAACATTCTGAAAAGATGGCTAAGTTAGGTATGTTGCTTTTCTGATTTCTACAATCATTCGTCTTTTCTAAGCTATATTTAAGGACATTTCCTTTTGTTATTATCCAATTACATTCCCTAAAAGATACCAAAGCTTGGGGCTGGGGTTGTGGTTCAGAGGTAGAGCTCACCTACCATGCATGGGGTGCTGGSTTTGATCCTCAGCACCACATAACAATAAAATGAAGATGTTGTGTCCACCTATAACTAAAAAATAAATATTAAAAAAGAAAAAAAAAGATACCAAAACTTTTCCTAAGATTTAGAGAATGAGGCATTTCCTAAAAGAATAATGTCATGTTATATTAAGCACGCTTAAGTTAGTTTTTTTCATGTTCAGATGTCTTCTATTCTGAGCTGAAACCCAGTCTTAATTATTTTCTTTTGTTCTTTGTACCACAATAGGTAGACGAGGTGTTTTCTTTCTTTCTCCCTGCCCCCAACAATAATAATGAAGTTTATTTTAAAAATACATATACATTAAAAGCTTAGAAAAAGTCAGTGAATGCCTTGGGTAATGGTGGGTTGCCCCAAAAAATCACTAGAATGTTCCCCAGAATTCTTAATTCTTCCATTTTTTAAAAAATATTTTTTTAAAGTTGTAGATGGACACAACATCTTTATTTTGTTTATTTAGTTTTCTTTGTGATGTTGAGGATTGAAACCAGTGCCTCATGCATACTAGGCAAGCACTCTATCACTGAGCCACAACCTCAGCCCTACTTCCATTTTTATTACTTGATCATACTATAAAATTTAAGGATCGTCAGAATTTTATGACTTCTGAGAAACAAGATGGCAGCTGTGCAGTGTCGGAAATGTTTAGCTAAATAAATTGACCAGTCCACAAATATATTCTGAGCCCTTAAATTATCTGCAATGAAGGGAGTACAGAGAACAGATATATTTGTTTCCTTATGTTGGTGACAACCTAGTTTGGGATACAAGATATGTATGCACATGAGGGAGGTCATGATTAATGATATTCCATAGTATATAAGTGGTGAATGTGTAGAATGCACAATGTATAGAGAAGTGGGAAAATCAAGAGCCCTCGAATATAATCCTACAATTCCCCAAAAAGCTACTTGACATTGAACAAGTCATTTAACTCTTGGGTTGGCAATGTTCTCATATGTAAAAGAAAGAGTTGCATTTCAACTCTAGTTTCTCATAAGAACCATCTCGGGATATTTTTAAAATCTCACATCCTTTTCCCAGATATTCTTTTTAATTGTTCAGCAGTGGGTCCTGGTTATTTTTTAATAGTGTATTATAGTTATACATAATATTGGGGTTCATTTTGAAATATTTATACATGTATCTTAGGTGCTTAATAAATAATTAGGAAATGATGAGTGACTCAAATCACACAGGGTTGGATGTGGAAGTGCATGCTTGTAATCCCAGGTATTTGGGAGTCTGAGACAGGAGGGTTACAAATTCAGGAACAGCCTGGGCAACTTAGCAAGAATCTATCTCAAAATTTTAAAAAAAGGGGTAGGGGGGCTGGGTACAATGGTGCACGCCTGTAATCCCAGTAGCTCGGAAGGCTGAGACAGGAGGATCGTGAGTTCAGAGCCAGCCTCAGCAAACTGAGGTGCTAAGCAACTCAGTGAGACCCTGTCTCTAAATAAAATACAGAATAGGGCTGGGGATGTGGCTCAGTTGTTGAGTGCCCCAGGGTCAATCTCCAGTACCAAAAAAGTAAAAAGGACTAGGATGTAGCTCAGTTCTGAGGCACATGCCTACCCTGTGCAAGGACCTAGATTTCATCCCCAGTGCATATATACACAAAGAGATTTTCTAAATTTTTTATTAAGACTTTGATACTGTACTTAGAAAATTTTATTTGTTTTATAGAAAAATATTTACATAAAATTGTTAGGAATGGTCTCTTCTAACATTTTCCTTAAAACAAGTTACCACCCATATGAGTTTATATGAATTGCTGATTTTCAGAGAACTGGACTATAATAAATTACATGTAACATTACCATTAAACTGTCACTTATTTTAAAACATTCTGGTACTGTATTTAGATCTTTTGAGGGGTCGTCATTTTTGAAAGCTTTAAGGCAAGGAAACAATATATATGAAAGCGCTTTGAAAATTAAGATTTATCAGTATATAAAGGCATAGGAATACCAAAATTAAGGGAATAATAATTACCCATTTGGTAAAATATAATAGTCATATTAAGAGCACTTATGATTTATAATTATAAACTTATGTATATTTCCTTTTTTAATGTTTATTTATGTATTTATTTTTTATTTATTTATTTTTTTTCTTCGGCGGACACACATCTTTTGTTTGTACGTGGTGCTGAGGATTGAACTCGGGCCGCACGCGTGCCAGGCAAGCGCGCTACCGCTTGAGCCACATCCCCAGCCCCATTGTTTTTGTTTTTTGTTTTTTTGGTACTGGGGATTGAAACCATGAGTGCTTTACTACTGAGCTGCACTCCCAGTCTTGTTTTGTTTTGTTTTGTTTTTTGAGACAGGATCTCACTAAGTAACTGAGGTTGGCCTCAAACTTGTGATCCCCCTGCCTCAACTTCCCAAGTTGCAGGGATTGCAGATGTGTGTCCCCATGCCTAGTACCTCTGTATAATTTTAAATGATGTCTTTTTATTCAATCACTGCAGCCAGTGACCCATGTCAACATTCAAGGTAAAGTAAAAATTATACTTGTTAAGTATTGACATGGATTAGAGAATTATAGGAAGAAATCATAAAACCTGCACTTCTGAACATAATTTGATCATTTACCAGTTTGTTTACTTTTTCTCAAAAATGTGATGAATATATTACTAATTTTGAACATAACATGGTTCATAAAATAATTTACCTTAACTGATGTGTTTTTTATTGTTTATTATCCGTATCAAGAAATTAAACATTTTTAGATGCACAGATAAATCTAAGTTATGTGCATGTTGGTTATCCACTCAGATAACTTCTACTCTTTTACTTAAGCTTAGTTAGGACCTATAGTTGTGATATTCTTTAAAGAATTTCTTTGACTCAGTAAGTATTGTTGCTTATATACTAAACATAACAATAGAATAGAATGTATTAGTATTTTATGGATAATATAATCTGTCATTTACTACTGAGTATAAATGATGATTTCATTTAATTGGGCTAACTTAAATATAAGGCTTATAAACTAAGAATTAGGAAGGTTTTGTAAAAACTGTGTCCAGTGTGAGAAAATAAATGTAAACAAAAGAGCAAAGACAAGTAGAAAGGTTAGGAGTTCAGCCAGTTTGAAGAAAGAGATAACTTCTGGAAAATTAAAAATAGAATCAGTATGTTGGAAAGATAATGTGCACTCCCATGTTGATTGAATATTATTCACAATAGCCAAGATATGGAATCAACCCAAGTCTCCAAGTATGGCATATATACACGGTGGAATATTCAGCCTTTTAAAAAAAGAAAAGGCCTTATAAGTACCTTTAGTTATGCATTTTCTTTCATTTTGAATAAGGAGAACCACAAATTATRTGATTGACTTGGCTTGTCATAATTTTCTTTGAAAAACAAAATAAATAGATTATGTATCTCCCCTGGTCAAGTACCTTGTATAGCTATCCTTTACAGGATAAAATGCAAAAATTCTTAGATTGAGCTTTGCTTTACTTTTCCAAACATCATTATACTATTTTAAGAAATATATTTTCTATATGAACCCATACTGCATTTTTCTACCTATATTTATTCTGGAGTACATTTTTTTTCTTATTTCTAGCTACTAAGATTATAACTATACATCAAAATTATTTTAAGTATTCCACAAATATGTAAGCTAAAAATAAATAATATCTTCTCCCCCCAATAAAAAGATGTTTAAGTAGGACCCTATAGTAGACTGATGAGAGGCGAGCCCGAAGAGTATTCATTTATTTATTTTACTTACTTGTAGTGCTGGGGATGAAACCCAGGGCCTAGCACTTCATAGGTAAATGCTCTACCACTGATCTACAACTCAAGCCCTAGCACTTTTATTTTAAAATTTTCAATATGTTATAGACCAGTTTATTGTGTAAAATATGATAGAAAAATGAAAATTAAAAGACACAGCCCTAATTTTTATTTTAATTACCATACAATTAACATTTCATTTAATATGATCAGAACAAGGATAAAATAGGAACAAGAAAAGAATTATATAAACTGTATACAATTATTGAAAGGTGATGATTTTTCATGATTAATATAGAGGTCAATAGACTTTTTCTGTAAAGGGGTAGAATGTAGATATTTTTATCTTTTGTGGGTGAGTATTCAACTTTGCTGTTATAATTCAAAAGCAACTATAGTACAATATAATGAATGATGTAGCTATGTTCCAATAAAACTTAAAATAAATGGAAGAGTGGATTTGGCCCAGTAGCTTATAGCTTATGGATCCCTAACATAGATAATCAGTAAAGTTTTATATTTAACAAATGAACTTTTTTCTTGCTTAATATGTCTGAATTTTATTTTAATAACACTCATAGATGGGAAAAGGTTTTCAGAAGTAAATTGATGATAACTTTCTAAGCAATGTCAGCAAACTTAGGACTGACATATAGTCTCAAAATTCTTCTTTAATCCTTGATAATAAGCCAGATCCAACAATATAACCTATAAAGTTATGGGTAGATTGAAATTCTTCTGGTAAACAAAGGGAGTCCAGATTTTATGTACTTTTGTGTGGAGGTTAACAAATTAACCTTAAAATAGCTTATGTTGCAATCAGTGTGTCAAGTTAAATGTACATGCATTTAACAGTACTCAGATGGTTTCCTGGTGTGTTCATAAGCTTGGATATTGCAGCAATATCAAATAATTATAAAAGTTTCTAAATATTTATTCTTWWTTYCTAGGCTTATGAACTAGAAAGTTTATAGCCTGGCGCTTGCCTATATACCACATATTTTGAGAGTGCTAATAAATAGTATAGCTTAGAATGAGGAAGTTAGAAAAAAGAGTT